AGAAGTGTAATACTCCCTCTTTACTGACTGGACTGCTCTCTCAGCTCCTTCTCGTTTTTATCCTGCAGCATTTGGCTTTGTTTGGCTCTCTGATCACATTGTGTTTGTGAAAATAAGCCTCCTCTCATAAAATGCTCTCACTGTCGCTCGGTGCCATTTCTATATTTATCAGTTTTCCAATCTGTTATACTTTGAAATTGCTTTGAATACACCACAGAAGGTAATTAAACGACTAATATATAATATGTACCATAAAGGTCACTGTATTTACGTGTACATGCTGATTTTTATTTGAGCCCATATTAATTTTTCGAGCATTTCTAGAAGGTAAGTTTCTTTTATTTGAAAACACGTGCAGAATAGTATGAAATAGGGCCACATGATATGGGACAATGAAAAAGTAGTTCATTTTAAATGGCTTGCAGTGGTCCAAAGGTGTTTTTCACATGGTGTTCTAAATATGTTATGCATTAGTAGTTAATACCTCATTAAAGTGTAATACTCCCTCTGTAAAAAGTATTATACAATACAATATTTGTTTTCTGTCTATTGGATTGTGTGTTAATTATGTTATGTGTTTTAAACCCCTTGAAAACGATATGGCACGTCTGATGGGGCAAAATCCATTCAAATGATATAATTGCAATCAAAATTATTCAACCCCCACTGCACAGTAGGTGTAAAGGTAAAATGTACAAACTAGCAGCTGTTTACAAAAAATAAATCAAACAAGAACGATTTAAATAGCTCAACACAATTAATATTAGTTGTGGTTTCTCCAAGTTCAACAAAAAAAATGCTATTTTTAATGACTACTGCAGTCTCAGAATTAGGGATGGGCATGATTAGTCGATTAATCGATAATTGATCATTAAGAATTTCATCGATTACGTTCATTTTAATCAACAAACTGAATATAGGTTGCTGTGTGTAGCGTGACCGAACAGGTCTGTACATGTGACACAAACAGTCAGTCAGTCTGCAACGTGCTGAAGTGCAAATGCGTATTTAACGATGACTTGTACAAGAAATTCCACACTTTCCGTTCCCGTCGGGACAAGTGTGAGGCCATGTGCACAGTGTACAAAGCAGCACATATGTTTCTGTGTCCAGAGGGAAAAAACTCACCAGGACACCGAAAACATGAAAAAGCTTTGCCAGGTGAGAGTAGCTCAGTGTTGATGACGAGTCCCACCTCCCACCCCCCGTACGGTGTCCTGGTTTTGACAAATGCAAATATGGTCACACTAACCTGTATTCCACTGAATCGTGTCCTTTAATCCGACAGAAGTTGACCGCATCAGCGCACAAGAGCTGTATTTTTTTTTCTTTGCTTAGTTTATGCAAATTAGCCATGTGGTTTTAGGTTTTGTTTCTGTGAGACTTGCGCAAAACTGCATTAAACACATTATAATCTTAAATGGGCTGTTGTGGCTCTAGAGTGGTTACGGTTTATATGTCGTAAACTTGAATTTATTTATGCAGATTAGTAGTGCAGATAGTAATAATAATGTTGATCATTTTAATATAAAAACGTTAATTCTCCCAACGATTAATTAAGAAAATTTAATCAAATGCCCATCCCTACTCAGAATTATTCAACCCCTTCATGACAAGCGTCTTTAGTACTTAGTAGAGCACCATTTTGCTGTTATGACCTGCTGCAAATGTGATGCACAGTCAGACATCAGCTTCTGGCAGCGTTCCTGAGGAATCTTAGCCCGTTCCTCATGAGCAAAGGCCTGCTGCTTGGGATCACGTTCGGTCATGTTGAAAGGTTCAATGATGCCCAACCTTCAGATGGCATGACATTTTCTCCCAGGATTTTCTGATACTTGATTGAATCCATCTTGTCCTCCACACGCTGCAGGTTTCCAGTGCCAGAGGAAGCAAAGCAGCCCCAGAGCAACACTGAGCCACCGCCATGCTTCACTGTAGGCAACGTTTGCTTCATTGTTCCTCCTCCAGACGTACTGCTCATCCATAGGCCCAAAAAGTTCAGATTTTGTTTCATTGCTCCACAGAACAGAATCCCAAAACCTCTTTCACTTATTTATATAGTTTTGAGCAAACTAGAGCCGACTTTTCTTGTGCCTTTGGGTTAGTAGTTGTGTACGTCTTGGAGTTCGGGCATGGAACCCTTCAGCGTTTAGCATGCGCCTTACTGTGGAAACTAAAACCTCAAGTCTTGCTGCAGGTCTTTTGCACTCAGTCGAGGGTTTCTTACTACCTGCCTCCTCAGGACTCTGGTGGCAGCTGTTGAGAGTTTCCTTCTTTCTGCCACGTCCAGGTCGTGTAGCCACTGTTCCTTTAACTTTAAACTTTCAAACTACGCTTACAACTTTATCTCTAGGAACATTCAGTGCCTTTGCTATATTTTTGTATCCTTTTCCTTCTTTTCTGAACTTTTTCTAACGTGCAGTGAAATGTCACTGTCAACAGTCCAGATATTTGAGGGGTTCTATTTCAAGCAAACCTGATGCAACTAATGAAGCCCTTGATTTGCAAAAGTTTGCTCTTATGAGGAATTCTGTTTAGGGGGTTGAATAATTTTGAGACTGCAGTAATTATTAAAAGTAGCATTTTTTTTGTTGAATTTGGAGAAACCAGTTGTAATTTTAGTTGTGTTGAGCTATTTAAATTGTTCTTGTTTAATTTATTCTATTTTTTTAAACAGCTTTTTACCAATAAACCCAATTCGTAGTAGTCAGGCTGGCGCCACCTAGTACCTCCGCTCAATTTCATTTCTCTAGGTCAGGAATCGGAATACACTTCATTTTGCAAAAGCCCCGAAGTGTAAGTTTGGGCACCAGCCAATCAGCAAAGAGCCATATATTCTGTGTTGGCAACGATTCCCAAGATCAAGGATTTAAAGCCTGAACAAAGAGAATGTTTGGTGAATTTTATCAAGGGGAAAGACGTTATTGCCCTTCTTCCTACGGGATTTGGGAAAAGCTTAATACACCAGTTACATTACATAAGTCATGACCAAATAGCAGTGACTGGTTAAATAAAAAAAAGTACCTGTCTACCGTCGAGTGAACGAATCCTAATGCTGCGAGGTCAGACGGTTTCCACGAAGTGAATCCGGTTGATGAATCAGGCTAAATTCGCAGTGGGGGTTGAATAATTTTGATTGCAGCTGTATGTTTACCCAAAAAGAACTACAGTATTTGAGCTCTTCTGGCTACTTGCTGTTATCGTCGTAAGAATCCATGCACCCCAAAATAGCTGCCTAATGATTCATGCTATAACGACATTGAATAAATAATAATTATATTCTCGCTGTGTTATAAACTGAGCCGGCTCCATCCTGCGTGCACCTGCTGTGTTCAAAGTGGGGATTAGGGCTTCACGCGAGCAGCCCCACCTGTCTGTTTGGAGGATGTAAATGCCAGACTGTTTCTGTGTGCTGATAATATCCGTCATTATGAAGGATTCTCTGGACTATCTGTAGGTTATAAGCGGGAGTTGCACAGGGCCATGTGTGTTTCCCTTTCGGCTGGGGTTACGCCGATAATGGCCTTTCAACATGTGCACATAGAGTCCTGCAGATCAATACAGGATGCTCCAGGAGGCTGGGACTGTGTGTGTTTGTGTTTGTGTGTTAGGAGGATGGGGCTGGGGGTGTGCTTTGTCACTGAGGCAGCACATATAGTCGATCAATGCACTTCAGAGTATTTAAGTCCTGAGTCTTTTCACTCACGTGATCATTTGTTGGGTTTGGGAATAGGGTCATCAAAAGCATCAACAGTCAGATACTAATCAATACTAAAATCAATACTTGAAACTAGATTCTCATTTGAGCAGGTGTCGATACTAAAATAGACACATTCACAGGACAGAAATGAGTCATTCCTTTAGCTTTAGAATGATCTTGAGCTGTTTCAGAAAAAATATAAGCGCACATAAACTAGTATACGCACATGGACACTATGGAACCGACCTGGACCACTGAGGGATTACACAGATATAAGACCACATGGTAATATTATAATTTAGTGTTGAAAATGACATTCTATTGTCTAAAGAAAGAGTGTTTTTTATTATCACTGTAGTATCAAAATCAGTATTGAGTTTCGAGTCTGTTCCTTAGAAAGGAATGTCCATATTTATGACACTATGATGCTTTACATGATCCATGATTACACAGTAATGATATACTAAACAGGGCTGCACTATATCTACCAAATATCTATATCTGTGGTTATAGTGACACAATGTACATCAGTACAAAGAAATCCCTGGTGCATCAGGGGCATATTTGCTCTTGCTGTGTATTCTACACTATGGAAATCATTATTCTATCTGTTACCAGACACATTTTAGACATTTCAGACATACATATTTGCTTCATATATCTGCTGTTGTAGAAGTACTACTGTGCATGTTTTGGCCCCAGGTTTCCCAGGAGTCAAACCTTCTTGCTGTGAGATGAGAACTATTAAACAGTGATGACATGACGGCTTTAGTATCGGCCTGCAGACTGTGGCCTTCAGGTCGTATGTGAGCGGGTGTTGACCACACCTCGGCGGAGCCTGTGTCTGGTTTCTATGGCGACAGCTGTGCAGGCTCTCCCTGTGGGACGGCCCGGGGAGGGGGAGGGTGGGACCCTCCTCTTGGTCTAATGTTTATTTGAGGATGTGACGGTTCAGTGACTTTTGACTGCAGGGCAGAGATAGAAGAGCTTTTACATTTTGTCAGTCCTTTATCTCCAAATGACCAGAACAGGGTTAATCCAGATTTAGAGCTTTAGATACCTTTGCAATTTTTCAAACCCTTTTTGAAGAGCTGAGTTATAATTGGATATTTTATTCATGACATGTTCATGTGTATGTGACAGAGATAGTGCCATGTTATGGTCTGTTCTACTCAGCATTTGCCTTTCATTAGATCTGCATAAATCATTACATGATTTACATCACAAAGCCGGGTACAAAAGCACAATAAACCAGCAGTGGTCAGACAAAGCTCTGATTGTTCTTTTCTCCTCTGCTCAGGTGACGTGCCTACAGGATTTCTTTGGAGATGATGACATATTTTTTGCCTGTGGACCAGAGAAGTTCAGATACCAGGACGACTTCAACCTGGATGAAAGCGGTCGGTATTTGACTGTGAGGGATGTTAAAGGGGAGGTCTGTGTTTAACTCCACTACTTTGTTCTTCTACTTGAGTAATATTATTTCATTATAGCCATTCTCTCACACACACACAGACCAGACGATACCTCTTCCGAGAGGATACGATCCCAAAACATAGTCATTTATTTTGTAGTACCACTGCTCTTACTCATACAATTTTTTTCTACTTTCTCCCATATTACCCATGTTGCTGGACTATAGATTTTCTGCCTGTTCTTGCACTTATTTTGTTAAAATAATCCATAATAAATTTCAAATATTACCATGTGTTTTTCTAAATCCCGTCTGTGTCTCTCCAGAATGCAGAGTGTCTAAATCCTCCTCCTACGGCCGTCTCCCCTCAGCACACGGCAGAGCGTCCCCTAAAGGCTGGTCCCGGATTAGCAAGTCCCCCTCCTCCCATGGCTCTGGTAAGATTACGGTCAGATCGTGGTCTGGGTCTGGAGGGGAGTTATCACGCCTAAAATGTGTACCATATATTTTTATATATTTGTATTTTATGGTGTAAGTTGAGATAAGGTTAGTAGGTGACAGTTTGGTTTATTATCAGTCCTATCAACACGAAATAAAAACTGTAGTGATCCTGACTCCCTGCGCTTTATGCTCGAAGTCCGTATGTCTAAGTTTTTAATAAGATGGAAGAAGATCAAATCAAAAATCAAGCTTGATCAATATGGAGGAAAAAATCTTGATACTTTTTTCTCCATATCACCAACTCTACCAAACCTTAACCTGATTATCAGATTATTTTGATTATTTTGACCTCAAGAACTGCTTATACAATATATCTGTACTGTAAGACAAATGTTGCTCAAATATATGGAAAAAAATCTGGCACCTTGATTTTTGATTTGAATTCTTGGATTGAGGAATAACTTTGGACCACTGCAAACGAAAAATGAATGAATTATCTCTGTTTTTCACTTTTGAAGATGTAAAAAAGCAGGTATAGAGCGTTTAATCGGCTTTAATTGTCGATAGATTTTTTTCAAAACCAAAAGCAGATGGTCCAAATGTTGAAATGTCTGAGTGGTTGATGACAGTACCTCTGCCAAATGTTCAGTGAGAGCTTTAAATAGAAGCGTACTGAAGTTTATCATGTGGTTACAGCCAACGGGACAGCAGGCAGCCAACTGTCCACCCCCCGCTCTGGAAAGTCTCCGAGCCCCTCTCCCACCAGCCCGGCCAGCCTCAGACCACGCCAGGTAACTCTACGAAACATGTACCATTCGTTCTTTTGAATTTCAATTAAGTACGAAAAACTATAAAATGATAAGAGTTTGTTATTGCATTATTCTGTTTTAGTGGCAAACAAAAAATAAACAGATTTTGACCTCTATTTCCAATATTTAATTTTAAAGTTTACTTCAAATAACACAATAATTTTGATATTTTATTCTCTTCGAGCAGCAGAACCTTCGGGGCAAATAAACCAGGGAGAATAAAATATCAAAATTGAAATAGGTACCACATTTTTTGATTGGCGTTATTTAGAACAAACTTTAAATTAAATATTGGAAATTGTTTGTTTTTGTTTCTTAAAGCGGAACAACGAAATAACAAACTGTTTTCCCATTTTATTGTTTTTTGTTCTTTTGAAATTCAAAAGAACGAATGGTACAGGGACCCATCACTCAAACTTATTTACAAAAGGGATTTCTGAATTATACGTATTGTCCTGAATAACTCAAATTTGATTACCATATTTTTCAGTTTATAAGTCGCTCCGGAGTGTAAGTCGCACCAGCCAAAAAATGTGTAATTAAAAAGAAAAAACATATATAAGTCACACCTTTTAGGGGAAATTTATTTTATAAAATCAGAGACCAGGAACCAACATTTCATCTTGAAAGTCAAGTTCTAGTAAAAACAGACTGTTAACGTCACATATGAACAGTTCTTCAGATAAACTATAACATAAACAACAGAACAGAACAAGTTTACCAAACTCTCCATCTCACTCCAAATCACTAAATCCATTAAATTCTTCATCCTCTGTGTCACTTCTGAGCAACTCCACGACCTCCGGAGGTAAACAGAGCGCCGCTTCCTCTTCTGTGTCGCTGTCGTCAGACTCAGCATCAGTTCCAGTTAGAAATTATTCTGGCCTTTCTGAATCCCGACAGGATGGTTTCGATTGTCACTGAAGTCACTTAAATTTTACATTTTCAGTGGTACAGAAGTAATGGTGCGATCGACTGACATGATACAGACAGGACAGAGGCTCTTTCTGCAGGAGACATGCGCAGTAGAGTGAAGTGACAGTGGTACAGGAGGAACAGGAGCAGCAGATACTGACACACAAGACTAGAGCCAGTGTGAAAATTTGAATATATAAGTCGCACTGGAGTATAAGTCGCATGAAACACCCAAACCATGAAAAAAATGCGACTTATAGTTTGAAAAATACGGTAATTATCTTTGTAAATGTGTTATTTTGAACTTTGTGCACTAATAAATAGATAATGGCTTTACGTTTCATAACTGTACAACAAGGCTCCCCTCTTATATGGACTAAAATGAGTAGCTCTCAGGCAATTTCATTTTGTAAAGTTGGCTCACCGGACTCAAAAGGTTGGAGATCCCAGCTTTAGAGTCTATTAGAGAAGAAAACGACTATCAAAATATGATTAGAGTTGTTTTGAATCGTCTGTTGCTCATAATGAATCTGATGAGCCGCTGGAGTCTTATTAAACCATTAGAGAGGCACGATGAGTAAACTGAAGTAAATAAAGGGGTTGAGTACAATATGAAACTAGCCTTGTGGCATTGCTAATATTTAATTACATCAAGCCATTGAAAATCGTAATGCGTTTTCTGCTTTCTGGCGGTTTCAATGGGTTATGGGTTAAAACTGAGCCCATTTTGCTCTGTGAGTGTGGCACTTTGCTGGATACAGAGGAAGGTTAATCATAAATATTGATGATAGCCTATAATAACACATTTATACCGAAGTGCTTACAGAACAATATGGGATGATATCAATATGTTTACATCCTCCCAGAATGCATTTGTGCGGGAGCAAGACCAGGACAAATGGAAGACGGTTTCCTGAGCAGAAAGTACATTAATCTTCAATGGAAAATTCAGTGAAGAGGCTTTTAAAGTTACATTCTGTAATTCTGTTTTTGGCAGTGTGTCACCTGCTTGTTTCTATGGATATGTCATTGCTTTCTCTGGAATGTTCCACAGTGTGACATTTATTCAATTACAGTACAGTAGCAGTAGCAGTTTATAGCTCAAAAATACTTAGGAAACAGACATTCTGACTGTGAGCGGGGTTGCCTCTTCACAGTAGAGATCTGTGCAGGAATTGTAATTTTCATTCCCGCTCCCACCCGCATCTGCAATATTTTGTCCTGCTCCTGCCCGCAAATACTGCAAGATGGGGACGTTCACTTTCTTAAACTCTATCAAACACGGAGAGGTGGAAAGGAATTGTCTAAAATGTGGGCGAGATTAGATCACGTCCGCAAGTTTAGGCTGCTTAAAATGTTTTTATGAATGCCAAATAAAATATCCAGCACAAATGATGTATGATAGGCAAACATTAATCATTTTTATATTTTACTTTACACTCATATTTAGTTTGCGGGACTGCAGTTTATCATCCCACCCGCCCGCTCCCGCATTGTGCAGTCCCGCTCTCTCCCACGCCCTCAATGAGCTTTCAAAATGTTGGACACGCGGCACCGTTTTGCGTCGAGTCCCGCGGGTGCAGGGTAACTCGCTTGGTTACTTGGTTTATTAATACCATACTGTGAAACATTCCAGACAAAGCAATAACATATCCATGGAGAAAAGCATTTGACGGACCAAATTTTGTACCAAAAAAGTTACACAATTCACCTTTAACAAGATGCACTCTATGTATTAATTTACAAGATACTTAAGATACTACTTGTTTTGTTTATTTAAAAAAGCCCATAAAGCCCACACCTGTTTACATTTTATGTCTGAAATAGTGAAATAGTTCTCTTTTCTCCTGTGTATTGAATATATCGGGATACAGAATCAAGCCTGTGCAATTAATTTAATTTTGATCGTGATTTTGATTTGTGTGTCAAACAATCTCACAAACTTATATAATCAAGTTGAAACAAGTAAAGCTTAACAAAGTTTATTTAATTTTTTAAATATAGAGTTTGTAGAACAACTGGATATATACTTTATTTTGGAGACATTTATGTTTTTCTAGGTCTTATTTAATGTTTAAAGTATCTGTTACTGATTTTATGTTTTATACATCGCAAAATTGCTCTAAGGTAAATATTTGTGGCCTATATTTATTTTCAGTTTGAAAGTTTTGCATAAATTACCAATAACAGTGTTTTTTTGAGAGAGAAATTCTGAATAAATGCATCGTGTAACTAAAAAATAATCGTTGGAATAATCATGATCTCAATATTGATCAAAAATAATCGTGATAATGATTTTTTCCATATTCAAGCAGCTCTATACAGAATATACAAAGAATCTCAATGTGTCTTTGTCAGGACACAATCATGTATTTCATAGTAAAAAGTCCAGATAGCATCAGTTATTACTCCACAACAACACGTCGTCTTACTGTGTGTTACATCATCCACATTTTCATATTCTTGTCATCTGTATTCACAGTTAAGAGTGGAGTATATCAAGATAATTAAACATTATAGTGACAGACCCTCTCCTCTTCCTCAGGGCTCTCAGCACAGTGGCTCCTCTTTGTCTTTGGCCTCTACAAAAGTGTGCAGCTCAATGGACGAAGGCGACGGCCCCAGCAGTGAAGGTAAACACTGGAACACAAGCACATGCACCACTCTGACCTGACACCAGATCTATGTGTCCAAACACGACTATAAAGTATAAAACCTTCTCAGTGTTTAGTGCTGCCAGGATATTTAATATTTTATCGTGCAGTTATTATCACTTATTCGTATTTGCTCTTTCAATCATTCTCATTAGTATTATGTCATTTTCCCTTTTTATGATTTAAAGGTGCACTATGTTTTTGGTGCATGGTCTGCCACCTGCTTGTCTCCATTGAGAAGTTGTTGCTTTGCCTAGAAGATGTTCCACAGTATGGCATTATACTTACATAGTGCTATAGTAAAACTACATTGAAAAACATAGAGGGCCTGATCTTGCCCCCAATTTTATCACTAGTGCAAGTGTGAGGCGTGGAGCTCTAAACAAGAGGTGTGTCGTGCCTGAATATCAGGTGGAGTGGAGCAGACTGTGGGCAGGTGTGGCGCATTTAGTGAATTGCCAGAATCGTAAAAATAAATATCAAACGAGTCCATTGAAAAACAACATGTAACATGCTCAAGGCTTATTTTATTTGGAAATATATTAGGATGATAAATGCATAACATATTTGTGTGCTGTGCGGGAGTCGTCTGGATGCCCTCCCTCAGCAGAGCACGGCCCCTCGTCTGCTCCCTGTATCGGCTCAGCTTTGCTCTATAGTTTGGTTTGGTCTGGATCTGTACAAAAGCTGCTCATTCAAATGAGGCTGTTTACAGTGATGTTCTAAAGTGTGTTTTTCTTACCCTGTCTGTGGTTCAAATGCTCCAATGTCGATTTATTCACATTCTCGCAGCCAGACGCTGACAGATCAGAGTGCACATTCATTGAGCTCGGGATGCAGATGCACGTATCATATCTGTGCTCAAAGTGGTAACATCAGAAACATTTATAAATGTTTATAAATGTATTCCATAATCCACGAGACTTCCACCTTTGTGAACCAAATGCAGTGGACCTGAGAGACGAGAATGTGCGCGGTCAGCGGTGGACACTTGTCCCTCAAGTGAGTCTGTGGGAGTGGCTGCGGGACAGATGGGAGCGGGAGTGAGAAAACAGCGGGTCTGCTGTGGGATGTGAAGCGCATGAGACAGACACTGGTCTTAAACGAACGCAGAAAACTATAAAAGGTTGATGTGTGCGCGTGTGCATGAGAGGGGCGCACGTGTGAGCGGAATGTTCATAACACAAACCCAGTCAGTTCTGTCATGGCCCATACAAAATTCTATATCCCTGGCGCCTCTGCTGGTGTGTACTTACATCGTTGGGCTCTGGAGCTGTTTTATTGTCACATATATAACTTTTCCCCACACTCCTCTTTGCTGCCTGATAATGAGGCAAAGATTGCAGCCTCCACTCCAGCCTCCAGCAGCGAAGTACAGCCCGACATGGACACGCCCACGCCCACTCCTTAGCACCAGCACTAAGCAAGATCAGGCCCACAATCTTGCTTTTAACGGGGTCATCTCTACACAAATCTATTCTGTAACTTGGCCTATAATGGCATTCGTAATTGTCCCCATGGAGATAGATACATTTAATGCCATACCGTGGAATATGCAGCCAGCAGCGTGTCCTGTTATATACAAGTCCACAGCTCTTGAATAACCATCTACAGTAGACTTGATATGTTCAGTTTAAGATTTCCTTCTCACCCCAGATGCACTTTTGTGTTATAAACTCACACCAAACATCAGATCTCTTTATTGGGTTATCACAGAATTCTAGTCTTCAGATTTTTCTGGCCATGTAATGTCCCCAAGGAAATTTAAGCCATACAAAAAATCATATAAAGGCACTCTCTCTCTCTCCCCTCATCCTTCCTGCCATTTCAGGTCCAACCCTCCTCTGACCCATCTCCACCGCAGCAGCAGAACCATCAGCCTCCTCAGCCTCTCCACCTCCTCTTCACCACCACCAGGAGGAGATAGTTTCCTTTACAATTCCATCGTACCATCTTTCTTTGCATCATGGACGTGTCTTCCTCACTTCATTTCACTTCATCAGTTTGTTTTTAGAGCTTCACTTATTTATTTGCAGAGCTGTTTTTACAATATGTCTGTACTGGCGCGAGATACAGTTTTGTTCAAATAAAAATTAAAATCTCAACTGTTGTACCTTTTAATTTATCACAGTCAAGGTCTGCCCTGGTTTATATGACTTCTAGCTACACTTGTATTGAAACATTTAAACTTGTTTCAGCGACAATTCCTCACAATTCATCCGGCATTGTCTTTGGTAAGTAAAATTAAAGGTGCACTGTGTAACTTTCCTGGTGGACGGTCCGCCACCTGCTTGCTTTCCTAAAATGTTCCACTGAATGGCATCATCTATCTCGCATTTATTCAATTGCACGTACTAAAATAAGTTGAAAACATGTTTATTAGCTTATTAACTGGACATGTTCAGCAGGAGGTCTCAGAGCCAATAAAATTTGGTCTGAGGGCCACATTTGACCCATGGACCATAGTTTGGACAGCGTTGGTTTAATGCAATGGTGGAACCTTCCAGACAAGGCAACACTGAGAGAAGGAGGTGGCGGATATTTCACCAGAAATGTTGCATGGTGCACCTTTAAACAGAAATGTACAAATTATTAACAGCCCCCTACATCCATGTAATTTTATAATTTATCTGCTTGTTAAAAATATAAAATAGTAATGTTCCATGAAAGGAAGGTGTAGTAGGTAACAAACATCTAGTAGATAAAGTGCTCATAAATGTCTAGACTACAATTAGCAAAATATAAATTTTATATAAAATATATATAATATATATGTATATACTATATATATATAGTATATATATATAATTTATATATATATATTATATATAATAATAAATGAATTTTATTAAATATTAAATGGGCATTTTTTGATTTATTTTTAATTTTTTTGCCTGTGCAGCTGAGCCCATGGAGGACCCCCCTGTGCCCCCCTCCATCTCCGACAGGTACAGGGTGGGGCGGACTTTGGGAGACGGGAATTTCGCAGTGGTGAGAGAGTGCATCGAGAGGTCCACGGCCAGAGAGTACGCGCTCAAGATCATCAGCAAGGACAAGTGCAGGGGCAAGGTACTTCATCGTAGTAATAGTAATAGTATGTGTGGTAGCCGGAGAGTTGATTAGACATGAGGCTGCACTTCTGACTCAGCACAGAGACATGAACCTTCAACTCTCGGGATAAACCGATTTGATATCGTCTTCCAAATATCAGTTCAGCCGATATCCTGGTTGGACAAATAAATAGATGTAATAAGACTCTTTACTAACTGATGTTTGACCAGAATGTTTCATAATGTTAGAATTTTTATTTAAAATAAGTTGTTCTGCAGTTACTAGAGGGATAAATAACAGCTGCATAACACATTCGGATTGCTTTTGTTTTATTTTATTTTGTTTTAAGGAAAAAAGTTATTATTATTATTAGTCCGTGCATTGGTATCGTTGATCGGGTATCAGTAGATACTTAAAACTTATCGGAATTGGTATCAGAACTGAAAAAGCTGGATCAGTGCGTCTGTATTCAACACTGTGTAATAGTGTGTTGTCCCTGCAGTCTAATGGAGTCCAGTCTGATTATTTTTCTGTTGTAGGGAGTATTATATCTCTGCTGACATAAGCTAAAAGAGCAAGGACTGAGATGGCAGTGAGAGCCCTCAGTACAGCACAGCAGTGGAATTTTTTGACTGACTGAAATACACGGGTGTAGAATATATAGGCTTGGTTAACTAAAACTCTTGTGTTTTTGTAACTTTCAATGACGCCAGGAGCATCTGATCCAGAACGAAGTGTCCATCCTGCGCAGAGTCAAACACCCAAACATCGTGCTGCTCATAGAAGAGATGGACACACCCACTGAGCTCTACCTGGTCATGGAGCTGGTCAAGGTGCACCGCTGTTTTACAAGTAGCATTTTAGATCTATCTTTTATACAGTAGTTAGAATTAGGTCCATTCAAAAGGCCCATAAAATTGACACGTTATAATGTTTTGTTTCATTCACACGTGTTTGAGTAACCCTTGCATTATTAGTCTGTCTACATCTACAAATCTCAAAATGCTCTTTTCCACCTTGTGATGTCATGGAGCTTAGAAGTTTTCAAGTTGACAGCTCCTTTTACCTTTTACCAAGTAGAGATCGGCTGAAATTATCCAAATGAGTCTAGTGAACTTCCTGTATCAGCCTAAATGTGCAGGGTTTGTGTGTAAAACGTGTGTGAAAGAAGCAAAACAAAACTCCAGGTGTGTTTGTGATGAGGAAATAACATTATAACAGATCAGAAAACAGCATACTATGGGCCTTTTAATGTAGCAAATACAGCAAAAGACACAAATACAGATTATGTTCAAGTAGAATTAAAATAGTAAAGAGAAAATGTTATATTATTGCAGTCTCTAAACATGGAAAATCTGTGTATCATTCGTTCATTCGTTTTTAAATCTAAAGACAAAAAGAGGACTAAAACAGGTCTAAACCAGCTCTAAACCACGTCTAAGTCTGGTCCTTGTCCTGGTCCTTGTCCTGGTCCTTGTCCTGGTCCTTGTCCTGGTCCTTGTCCTGGTCCTTGTCCTTGTCCTGGTCCTTGTCCTGGTCCAGTCGCGGTCTCAGCCCTAAACCAGGACTGGACCAGGACTGGACCAGGACTGAGACCAGGACTGGACCAGGAGTGTCGGGACTGGCCCGGACATGGGCTCACGTAGACTTGTGACCAGGAGACCGGGACTGAGACCGGGACTGAGACCGGGACTGAGACCGGGACTGAGACCGGGACTGAGACCGGGACTGAGACCGGGACTGAGACCGGGACTGAGACCGGGACTGAGACCGGGTTCAATTCTGGTTTAGAGCTGGTTTAGTCTTGGTTTAGTCCCGTTTTAGTCGTGGTTCAGTCTGTATGCGGTGCAAAAGTCCGGCATCGCATTTTAAGTCACGAAAACAGGAAAAAACGGATGATATATGGATTGCAGAAACTAGTTTGTACACTCACAATCTTCCATGGTCTGAAATTAAAAGCGTAATAACTCTTTTCTCCTGTAGGGCGGCGATCTGTTCGACGCCATCACATCTTCCAACAAGTACACAGAGAGGGATGCCAGCTCCATGCTCTTCAACCTCGCCAGCGCCATCAAGTACCTGCACGGACACAGCATCGTGCACCGGGACATCAAACCTGAGAACCTCCTGGTGAGTGGGCGCTTCTGATTCAGCTCAACCCACTGATGTAAGGAATCATTTTATGTAATCATGATGATCGCCAAAAGCAAAGATAATCACCATTTTATCACCAGAATGTGCTGAAAAAAGCTGCTTATCCTCGATGTTTTCTTCTAGATCAGTGTTGTTTTCACTCATAACAAAGTATAATTCAATAACATTTGTTTTAAATATAGAACTTATTCATAATATTAAAAGCAGTGGTGGATGAAGTACACAGATTTCTTACAGATACAGGGGCAAAAGATTATAAGTAAAAGTAAAAAGTACGACATGAAAAAATCTACTTGAGTAAAATTCTTAAAGTACGTGTTTAAAAATGTGTTTTGCTGAGATTTTTAGCACAATTAAAGCATTAAATGTAGTGATTTTTATTTTAAAATGTAGCGGATTTTAAGAAATTAAGTCAGTTTCTTAATTTTTCGAGCTGTTTTTTGTGTTTTGGGGATGTTAACTCAAATTAAATGTGTTAAAAATACTGTAAGTCTTAGTTATTTCAGCAGGTTTCAAACCATAAAAAAGGTACTTTTTACTTTTCAGTCCAGCTCTAAAATGTTGTGGAGTAGAAAGTACAAATACACGCTGTCAAATGTAGTGAAGTAAAAGTAAAAAGTATTCACTACTGTCAAAAATACAGATACCTAAAAATTGTACTTAAGTATTATTTTACTTTTGTGCTTTGTTACCTTCCAACACTGATTAAAAGTCTAATTAAATATATGCATAAACATTTTGAAACGTGTCAACAACTTTAATAATTATTGTGATATAATTGTTTTTTTGTATTTTTTATTTTTATTAAAGATAACAGAATATAATATACCATTTAATAAAATAAAACATTTAATAAAATACAAAAAAAATGAAATAATCAACATAAAAACATACATACATACATTAAAAATACAAAACAACAAAAACTGTGACCCAAATACACACAATGACACAAGTTTAATTAAATAAAACAAAAGTAATGTGGCAGTGCGGCATAACCAAACTGCTAGGCTCCCTTATATCGATATTTTGGCCAATTTATAATTTAAATTGTTGCTTTTTTTGTGATATAATTGTTAATTGCAATTATTTTAACCCTGATAATCATGACACCAAATCTGAATTTTGTACCATGCTACTGTCAGGCCCGTTGACAGAAATTTGGGGGCCTGGGGGCAAGAATCTTTACATGGGCCCCCCTCTAATATAAATTAATAGGAACATGGTCCAATCCTAAAAAAAAAAAAAAAAACCCTTTGTCCTTCCCTGTCTATTGCCCTGACTACTGTGAAACTCACTCACGTTCGTTTATATGTGTGTGGAAACAGGTTTACGAGCACCCGGATGGCACCAAGTCACTGAAGTTGGGCGACTTTGGTCTGGCCACTGTTGTGAACGGGCCCCTCTACGCAGTCTGCGGCACTCCCACCTACGTAGCACCGGAGATCATCGCTGAGACTGGGTACGGATCACTATGTTTTATTGAAACTGGAGGTGTTCTACATGTATGTGTACGGCGGAATGCTCAGCAGTTACCAGTAGAGATAGTAAATCTCCAGCACAGGCTGATATTTTGTTTTAGTCGATTTGCTGCCTAAAAAATACACACAAAGCTCCTTTTAAAAACTTTAATGTGAAGAGAAACTGCACTAATTGTGATACACAGTTCTCATAAAGTTGTGTAATAAAATAAAAGAAGGCTATGAGTGAATTTGTGCAGAATTTAAATTACATAATTTGAGGAAAATACTGTAAATCGGCCCTATATTAGACTTAGACTTAGACTGTATTTGACATACAATATTTTAAACTATTTATTCTTATTATTATTTATGCTGCTGTTGATCTGGACCTGATTGCAGTGTTTGTGTCTTGTGTGTATTTTTATACTGAAATTACAAATTCTGATTCTGATGCTGATATATCGGCCAAAAAATGTCGGCAGACCTTATCAGCCATGAGTTGCTCTGGATTCTGAACAATTGATATCGGCTTTGGCCAATATCAATTGTTATTGTATCAGTTGTTTATTGTATCAAATCCTTCTTGTATCAAATCAAAAGTTACTGTTGTATCTAAAAACAAATCTTCACGAGAGTTGTTTTTGTGATGACTTTAGGTACGGTCTGAAGGTGGACATCTGGGCGGCTGGAGTCATCACCTACATCCTGCTGTGTGGTTTCCCTCCCTTCCGTGGGTAGGTTGTTGCTCTTGTATTGGATGCATTTCAAACACTCTAGACTCCCAGTAGTTTAAAATTTTAGATGCAGACAGACTAATAAACCAGAGTTACTCAGACATGTTGAATGAAACAAAACACAACTATGGGTATGTTTTTGAGGAAACAACATTATAACACGGCTTAAAGCTCACAAGAGTCAGTTCTATATTACACAAATTTTACTCTTGTGAGCTTTAAGCCATGTAAGCCACCTGGAGGACTTAATGTCTGGTTGATGGAGGAATAAGAATAATGCTGGGAGAGATATTTGAGAGGTTCAAATCTGCCAAAGTTATTAATAATTTCAGAAAATGTCTTGGTTTGTCTGATTTTTGGAAGTTTCATAACCCAAATCTCCATTGTTCACCACACAATTAATACTCAAGGGCTTCGTAAAAGCTATGAATATGGGAATAAGGCAAGTAAACTGCTGGCCCATTCATCAAAATAGTACTTCTTCTCATTACAAAATAGAAGACTGTAGTGGAAAACAATTATTAACCATAACAAAATAAATAACACCTTTAAACAGGTTTGTTTATGATGAGAAAACATAGATATACACAACGGCATAAATGAGAAAACAGTAACAACAATATGACCCTTTAAGGTGCACTTTATTGTCCTGTAGGGATATTTCTGGTCTGCATTTGACCCATTCTTCAGTGTATAATGTCTCGTGTGTGCTGTGGGTCTGTGCAGGAGGGGAGCGGAGCAGGAGGAGCTGTTCGAGCACATTCTGCGTGGGACCTTTGAGTTCTCCTCTCCGCACTGGGACGGAGTCTCTGCTGCTGCCAAGGTCGGACCTCACACTCCAAACAAGACAAACCTGACACAAATGATTGATATACAGTAGATAGAGTTAAAGGTAGAACTGTTTCATGTCCTACTGTGCCAGAGCAATGACATATACATAAAAACAACCAGGTAACAGACCCCCAACCAAAAAGTTTGTATAGCACCTTTAAAATAAAGGTTTAGTGATTTGAATAATTTAATGTGACAACCATAGTCTCCAAAAATAAACTTAATTTTACCTACAAAGATTTACTTGGAGTATAATGTATTATATTGATATTGGACATATGGTCATTTCATATTTTTCTTCCTGTGTTTAGGACCTGATCAGTGGGATGCTGCAGCTGGAGGTGGAGCAGAGGTTCTCAGCGGTGCAAGTCCTGGAGCACCCCTGGGTCAAAGTGAGTTCCACACGTTCTTCTTCAGTAGAACAGAGATAGACCTGTGTTGGAGCAGTTTTGGAACAGTGGTAGAACAATGGTAAAAGTGATGATAGAAGTGGACGTTAACTCAAATGAAATGTGCTAAAAGCAAGTCAGCTTTTTCAGCAGGTCTCAAACCATAAAGAAAAGTATTTTTTAATTTTCGGTCCAGATCTTAAATGTAGTGGAGTAGAAAGTACAGATACCTGCTCTCAAATGTAGTGAAGAACCCACTGTAAAATGTACTTAAGTAAAGTATAGACACCTAAAAATTTTACTTTAACGTTTGTACTTTACTACCTTCCACCAGTGATTCAAACAGTGGTAAATCAGTGATAGAAACAGATAGTTCTGATCTCTCGTGTTCCTTGTGACGCAGGAGGAGGGCCTGACGGAGAGCGAGCAGCCTCTGTGTGTAGCCGGAAAAATCAAGAAGCACTTCCACAGCGCAGCTAAAGCGAACAACACCTCAGCTGGAGTGTCCATCATCACTGTAAGAGCACTGCACGAGACCAACGCAACAGAATGTGTTTATGAACAATTTTGGAAATTACAGAGATATTGATGGTTTTATATTACGTAGGCGAGTAATTTTTTTCATATAACCAAACGCTGCTATTTGGTTGTGACGTATGTAATGCACCACCAACGGGGCTAACTAATATATTAAGCTTTTCCCAAATCCCATAGGAAGAAGGGCAATAACCCCTTGATAAAATTCACCAAACATTCTCTTTGTTCCGGCTTTAAATCCTTGACCTCGGGAATCGTTGCCAACACAAAATATATGGCTCTTCGCTGATTGGCTGGTGCCCGAACTCACACTTCCGGGGTTTTTGCGAACCGTCTAGTGTATTCCGATTCCTGACCTAGTCGCTGGAGAGAAATGAAATTGAGAGGAGGCACTAGGTGGCACCAGCCTGGCTACAAGAAAAGGGCCATAGTTTGGATGTGCCTGACATAAACAAAGGAAGCATAATTGAATATGAGTTTAGTTTTACTTGGCGTGTCTTGTGTTTTGTTGCATTTTTGTCGTGGTGGTTCCTTGAGCACGATCTGTCAGCACTGTTGTGTTGTGTGGTCACCCGCCCCAGCTCTTACATCCAATTTAGAGTAAGAAACACATTAGATTAAAGCTACACTAGATTAGATTTAGATTTATTGTCATTGTACGAAATACAATGAAACATCGACAGAGCAAATCTGAAGCAATAAAAATGAATAAATATAGACACATTCTCACATCCATACCAATAAAAACATTAAATATCGTATTTTTTGGACTATAAGTCGCTCTGAAGTATAAGTCGCACCAGCCAAACAATGCGCAATGAAGAAGAAAAAACATAAGTCGCACTTTTTGGGTGAAATTTACTTTACAAAATCAGAGACCAGGAAGTGACATTTCATCTTGAAAGACAAGTTCTAGTAAAAAGAATAGAACAGAGAACAACAGACTGAATAGGCGTCTGGTATGTTAACATCACATATGAACAGTTATTCAGATAATTATAGCATAAACAGCATAACATAAGTTTACCAAACTCACGATCTCACTCCAAATCACTAAATCCATTGAATTCTTCATCCTCTGTGTCACTTCTTCGTTGACCTTCAGAGATAAACCATAGATCATTGAGGTAAACTGAGCGTCGCTTCCTCTTCTGTGTAGCTGTCGTCAGACTCAGCATCAGTTCCAGTTAAAATTATTCCGGCCTTTCTGAATCTCAACAGGATGGTTTCGGTTTGTTACAGAAGTTCAGGCTTTGTTGATCCATCTAGTGACTTCCAGGAAAGTTACATGGCGCACCCTCCCGATTACCGTGAAGTTGTGTTCTCCATCCCTGCTTTCAGCCAGTCCCTTTCTTGCTCACTCCAAACTTTCTTTCTGCTGCTCGATTACTGTTTTCGGCTGAATATTTCACTACTTGCAGCAGAACAGCAGCTTTTTCTACAGGAGACATGCGCAGTAGAGCCAAGTGACAGTGGTACAGGAGTAATAAAAGTACTAGATACTGACACACAAGACTAGAGCGCCCTCCTGTGACTGTCAGTGTGAAAATTTTAATATATAAGTCGCAGGAAACACTCAAACCATGAAAAAAGTGCGACTTATAGGCCGAAAAATATGGTGAATATGAAAAAACTATGTAAATTTTTCTGATGGAGGGACGTTATGCCACTTGCTTGTCTCCATGGAGATGTTATTGCTTTGCTTTGAATGTTCCACAGTACGGCATTAAACGTCTAATCTTGATCATGAGCTTGAACAAACTAACTAAATAATAAAAAATAAAATAAATACATCAACAAAAATTATAATAAAAAAATAAATTTAAACGTCTTCATTGTTCTGGGAGATAAGCAGGTGATGCCACAGGGCTACGTCACAAGTCAGATCTGTGATGAGGCGATCTAGTGAAATAATGCAAGATGAATCTCCATGGAAACAAGCAGGTAGCGGACCCTTCACTGGAAAACGCACATAGAGCTCCTTTAAGATAGAATATTAGATTATAAGAAATTGAAGGACGTGTCTCTCTGCCCACCTCGCCCAGGGCTGCCCGGTCCAGAAAACAGGCTCTATGGACCACAGCCGGGCCCCAGGACTGTACTGGACAAGGTACCACAGCGCCACCTAGCTGTTGCTTCCCTCGCTGCAATGTGCTGACAGTCTTGTGAGCCCTGCCCACTGTCGCCTGCTTTCATGTCAGCTGTACGGTGCATAGGACACACTGGTGACATTCTGAAGCCCCCCGCTGTGTCTGCTCCGCTCACCCGGCTCCGCTCTTGCCCTCGTGACTTGGTGTGGCGCTTGTTTCCATGGAGACGTCGTTGCTTCACCTAGAAGTAGAGCTTTAAAGTTCATTAGACGCCTTCTCATTCAATGTCTGTTTTTTTCTTTATGTTCACTACTTTCTACATTTTAGATACAAAGGGAAGAATATTAAAACAAAATGTTTACTCCATTCCATTTCATTCCATAGACTGTATAAAGAAGTGGGAGTGTGACGTCACCATATCCGGGTTTCACTCACGTGACACTGATGACTCACGAAATTCAGATGGGTGGCAGGAAGTGTTTTGCTCTGCTTCAAAACACAGCAGAATAGGTGACAGCGAGTATGCTAAAAGTTTGATTGGGCCGTTACAGACCCACAATCACGAAAAATTAAGTCTAAATATTGGTGATGACCCGTACGATACAGAGAAGTTAAGCATTTCATACAATTTGAAGGATTTACCCGGTGTTTGAGGCAATGGATATACTAAATGAGGTGCTGCAGACCTCGTATTACACTGAGCCAAATGAAAGCCTTTAAAAGCATGGAAACGTACAACTATTTTGGATCTGGTTGGGTTTAGAAAAAGGTATAAAATGCCAAATTACAACAGTAAGCTCATAAAACCGTACCTGTTATAAAGTGGTCGCTGAAAACTCTATCATTGTCCGTTTCTGTGCCTCCTGTTTTTTGCTTTTAGAGATTGTCGATCCACTTTTGTCGTCTTTTATCTGTAAGTTTTTTTTGAAACTAACTCCCTTGTGTGACACACCACTTTCAATACACAAAAAGTCATTTGTCTCTCTCCCGATTAAAGCGGCTGCAGCAACCATAAACTGCACAGAAATTAGGCATTTTGGCACAGAGTCAATGGAGGTAGATCCAAAGGTGCTGTGCATGTCTTTACTTCCTGACCCTCATCTGCTTTTTGTGACGTCAACGTGACATCATCTGAAACCCAGCAATAGCATTCAGCTCCAGTCAAATGAAGTTCATTGACGCTGGCAGTTTTAGGGACAAATTTGGGCCACAGTTCCATACTTGGAATTCAGATCATGAGTATAATAGCAACCAAAGAGCCAATCAGGAGCAGAGGTGTTGGAGGTAACACCCCTTTCTGCCTGCATCACTGGTTTAGAAGGTAGCAGGCGATTAGCAATGCTGTCAATCAAACCTGTTCCTAACGTTAGCGGTAGTAACCTTGATAAAAGAGGGCAGCTCATTGGTCTGTTATTAATGTTCATATCTTGATTAATAGCCAAAATTACAAAACAAAAAACCCAGGATGATGTGGAGCGGGTTACAGAGAGAGGGGCTTATGTCCATTTATATATTATACAGTCTATGGTTCATTCATAGTTTTGACACGTTCAGTGAGACACTACAATAAAATTATGAATATAAACATGAATTATAACACGGTTTCAAAAAGTGTGTACAAACTTTTGAATGGTAGTGTGTTTACTGGCTGAAATATTAATCTCAACCGTTGCTTTCCTTCCCGCAGACAACCGCACTCGATAAAGAGAAGCCAGTTTTCAGCAGAAGACGTGACCAGGATGTGAGATCTTACCTGCAGCTGCCTCACTGCGCCGGAGCCAGGGCCAAACCAGGACTGTCCCCCACCGATGTGACGTCCGGCTCTGAGGACCTGTCCCCCAGCTCCGCAGACACGGTCCGCTCCCCTGCATCGCCCTTTTGAAAGGTCCCATATTACGCAAAATTGACTCTTGTGAGCTAAGCCATGTTCGAATGTTGTTACCTCCTCATAAACACACCCGGAGTTGTGTTTGTGAGGAGGCAACAACATCTTATAACCTAGATCAGAAAATAGCGTAATATAGTCCCTTTAAGCCCCATTCACACTGGCAGCCTGATCTGGGATTTTAGCCACATTTTACCAACAAAGCCACAAGCAATTTTTAGAGTAAATTAATAGGAATATGCAGAGAAGGTGTATGTGTGAATGGCAAAAGGAGAAACTCAATTTAAACTGGACGAAAGTTTATTTGGTCGCATACGTTTCGCAGCTCATCCAAGTTTCTTCTTTAGTTCTGGTCAAAATGCTGGTGGACAATTCCTTATATTTGCCTGAAGGGAGGAGCTAACTACACTGAAACTACTCTGAAACTAACACATCTACTTGTTTACAGTTTTTGAGTGTGGGGTCATATTGGCAGAATCATTCAGGGCCATAATGGAGCTTTCACACCTCTGGGCTTGACTTGTTTTGATTTTGGTTTGAGGATGGAGTTGTAAATAGGAGATAGATGGTGTACGAGTCCCATGATTCTCTTTCCTAACAAAAATAGCTTCTTTAACTCCCCTCTCAAGCCAATTCTTTTCTCTGGCTCAGATCTGTACCTCACTGTCCTCAAAGGAGTGGTCCGTGGCTTTTAAGTTGGAGCTGTACAGCAGACTGAGGTCCTGTGTTGCTCTCTCGTCTGTGTTGGTACATCCTCATGTGAAGTGGCTGTTTTGTTTTTCTCCAGTGTAGCGCTCACTACCGTCTTCACTACACTGAACGGAGTAGACTATGTAGTTAACTCCTCCCTTCAGACAGATGTAAGGAACTATCCACCAGCCTCCAATCAGAACTGAAGAAGCAGCGAAACGTATTCAACCAAATTAACTTTTGTCCAGTTGATAAATTGAGTTTCACCTTTTCACGTGGATTCTACCTGGACGACTGAGGGATTTTACACACAACCCTGTATGTGTGAATGCATTTTAACTGAATTGAAATGGTGCAGCCGTGATGTGAAGTCAGGCCCCTGAGTGTGAGCAGAGCAGACTGGGAATATTCTGGGATTGGTGCGAGTGTGAATGAGAGTCACTGTTGAGTGTTCTGACATTTTGTAAACGGCACATTTTCAAATTTGTGAATGGGGTTTTAGACTCCTCCGTAAAACTCTGTATGACATAAACCCACTGCAACCTCAACAACTTGTATTTTAAAGCAGAACCTTGAAGAAGACCTTAATACAACAACTTAATAAACTGAGAAGAAAATGACGGCTGGCTGTCTTGTGTTGTGTCCCTGTTGCATGTGTCTCTAGGGTAAGGTTGTCATTTTGTATTTTTTCTTGAGTTTTAAGACCAACTAAAAACGTTTTTTTTTTTTGTAGTTATTGCTAATGTGCGTCATCAAGGTAACTGCTAAACATTCTACCGTAGGTATACAGGTAGAGCACCCCAGTGTGATGTCACAGCAAAGTATGAATAATATTGTATATAGAGTTATTAGTGATATAATAATATTTATACAGTTATTGTTGTTATTGTAATACAGATGGGTTCTAGGGTTTAGCCAAATGATCAAGTTCAATATTTGTGAATTTCCATGTTTGATCTTTCATGGAAAAGTCATCAATAATATTATAAACATCAGAGTGGAGTAAGAACGAGGCCTTTCCTGTAGTGTTCACCTGGCGGTTCACCAAGAAGGGAAACTTTTGTCTCTTCCACAGAATCTACCCTGACCAGTCCTCCTGTTCATCCTGTACGTTTGACTGAGACACAAAAGACACTGAGACACACAGTGGAAATGTTGCAGCAACATCAACTGCAGCAAAACTTGAATTTCCCTCAGGAAATATCTGTCTGTCTGTCTATACTGTTATTTTATAGACTATACTACTCAGTAATACTATTATATATATCTATATGTATCTATCTATATCTGTATCTATATATAATATAAATGTATGAATATAAAACAAAAGGAGTCGAGTGTGAAAACACAAAAAAGCAAATTGTCTTCCATAGAGACATAGACCTATTTTCTATAGAGGCAGTATTTATTAGATGCCATTTGAAAAGACATTCATAATTAATATTAACATAAAAAATACATTATGTAATTGTTTCAGATGCACAGTTTATAAATTGCCAAAGACACATAAGGATGTATAAAAATTTTATGTAAACTTATTTTTGCTTTTTGTTATTCTGTTGCAAAGACTGAGCTACTGTGTCCAAATAAATGGACTTTGAGGATCAGTTTGTTTAAGTCTAGTTCATAGTATTACCACACAAACAAACACCTCTCTGCATTTGACTCGTCCTTCAATGTCACTAGTGAGGACCCATCTTCAGATCTTGACCAAGGATTGGTCAGGAGGACTACTTTAATGTTTAATCATTTAAAATATCTATCAGTCCAAGCAGCTTTTAAATTATGATTTCATATTTGTGTATTACATTTGAAATATAAAGAGTATAAAACAACATAGTGAACAGTGAGAATGCAAAGCCTGAACAGCTGTGGTGCACTGGAGCTGTCCATGGTGCTAGTGAGTCCTCCATGTGGTCATAAGGAGTATTGCAGGGGAGTTTTATTTATGTTGTACCAGAATGTGCATCATTCAGATCCTCCTGAGACCCGGCCCAATCATTTGTGTCCTTTATAGTGGACATTGAGTTAACCAGTCTCTTTTAAGTGTTCTGAGATAAACTCTTAATGGGGGTTAGGTTCCTCTGCCTAAATAGGGCTGGGGGATTATAGGTACTATCATGTCTAGGTTAAAAAAAAAAAAAAAATTCAGTAGAAGTTAGTTTGTGGCTGCACTATGATATATATATAAAAAAAAAGAAGAAAGAAATTAAAAGGGAATCTAAACACCTTTTGAGGTGACTGTACAATGATGTTTGATGAGCTACAGTCCTGAATTTGACAGTATTAAAAATACAGATGTTCAAATGCATTTGTCTGAACCCAAAGATGTTGATCTGATATTTAAAAGTCTACGAATAGTAAATTACAAAATGATCCTTAGTATAGTCCTCACTACAGGATCATTTTGACCTCTCTCCTCTCTGTGTCTCCTCTGTGGTCAGGACTTCCTCACCCATTTCGAGCACAATCCAGGAGAAGGAAGTGAGGAAAGAGAAATGAGATGCGGCCCATGCATTTCTATGTTGGGACAGGGCTTTAGTGTGTTTTATGAGGCTATAGCCCCATCTAGTGTTCAGTCACAGAATCCCAGAGAACAAAGTTACATCTTTTAATCTCAACATTGTATATGCGAACATGACAAAATAACATGTGACAGTACATTGTTCAGTAGAATTCTGTTTGCATCTCAGACGTCTCTTACAAAGTGGAGCAATTTCAACATAAAGACAAATATGGAAGCTGCTGCTGAGGCCAGAGAAGAGCTGTAGAGGACTAAGACTGACAAAACCTGCAAAATCAGGTTTGATTTAAACTCTAAACTATTCAGAAAATCTACAGCATCATTTACCTACAGATCCACTTCTGAAATGTGTTTTAGACCAGCACTTCTACAAGATCATAACCTCTCCAGCCACGACAAGATGGAGGAGATCTCCAGAGGGTGGCAGCACACACACACAGCAGCTGCTCATCCAGAGCAGACAGATGATAGACGCTCTTCACCAGGTCCCTGTCTCTGATATAAGCTCATGTCATAATATAGATCATATAAACTTAATATATACAGTAACATGGGGAGTGTTTGGTCTGAGCTGGAGCTGGAGGCCTGTGATGAGCGCTTTGTGGCTCAGTCAAAGAGGCAGACAGAGGCTCTTCAGCTGATGATGGAAAGGATGAATGAGCAGGGCCAGAGTGTGACCAGAGCTCACAGGAAGAGCTGCCCAGTGGAAGGAGGTTAGGGCTTAAAGATGTTAAATGTTTTTCTATACGTCCTGTTTATCTGTGCGCGTGTATGGACAGAATGTTCAGACAGTGAGCGCCTCCAGAGGAAGATCCTCTGAGTGTGTAAGTACATCCAAACATCATCAGGCATCTGTGTGAATAGTGCAGAAAACTGAGCCAGTCATAATGTGTTTATTAGCACATGGCAAACAGGTTTAAAACGCCAACGCCAGAGGTGAAGAGAGTAAAAAAAACATTTTACTCAAGTAAGAAGTTGCTTGAAAATAATATTACTCAAATAAAAAGCAAAGTCAAAGAAATTGTTCAACCAAGTATTTGGAAAAAACTATTTGAGTTAAAGCAACTTAAAGAAAAAAATGACAAATCATCTGATTTATTTCTTAAAGAAGCTGTATGTAATCTACCAATCCCTAATATATTCCAATGCAGAAAGGTCTGGAACCGTAACAACCGTCCTAACTCCGGACAGTCCAACCACAGACGCTAATCTGTATCATGTGTCTCTTAAATGCAAAACAAATCACCTGAGTATTTGCTCTGGTTCACCACTGCCACACTGACTGTTGCTGTCTGTGTCCAGTCCAGTCCAGATGTTTGAGCTCCTCCAGGAGGTCGGTCCAGAGTCTTCAGCAGGAGACCTCAGAGCTGCAGAAGGAGCTCATGGGTCTGCAGGAGCTGTATCTGGACCAACCCCTGGCCCCGGGGCCGCCTTTGAATTCTCATAGCACTTTGCTGTAGCTAAAACCCATTAACTTTTTAAGTTTTCTTGTAATTAGAATTCAAACACATTGATTTCCACAGCCATATTGCATTGTGTTGTGCATTAACATAATGACAAATATCTCAGGGCAGTAACAGTTAAGTAGATTGCATATTCATTTTTTAAAGGGACATGTTTTATTATGTAAAGCTTTTATCCATGATATAACAGTAATAAGTTTTATTTCAATAGTTTCATGCATGTTTGAATAATCCTGCATTGTCCTGCAAATGTTTATTTTCAACCACCCCCTAACCCAGGAGTCTCCAACCTGTAGCTCTCCAACCAAAAATTTCCTGAATTAGACCACAAATTTCTCTGATCTGGCCAAGATTTTAAAACTTAAATCTGAAAACAAGATAAGTAATCTGATATATTATCTACTTCCTAGTTCAGAGACTGCTTAATTTTAGTCTAGAATAGATGTAATTTATTTTAACATAACTTCCATCCATTCATTTTCTTCAGCTTATCCGGGGCTGGGTTGCGGGGGCATCAGTCTAAGCAGAAACTCCCAGACTTCCTTCACTCCAGACACGTCCTCCAGCTCCTCCAGGGGACCCCGAGGCGTTCCCAGGCCAGCCCAGAGACATAGTCCCTCCAGTGTGTCCTGGGTCTTTAACATAACTTGTAAAGTAAAAATCTGTCCATGCAGCAAGATAATTTCACTACTTTTAACTCATTTTATGATAGATTTAAGTGCACCACTCTCCTCCAGTTTATAAAGAAGTTTAAATGTTTAACTCTGGGCAGATACATGAATTATGATACTTTGTGCTTTAATACTTTGCTGTACTGTTACTGATTTGTTTGTTTCCTCTGGCTGAGGGGAGAACGGAGCGTGAGATTGACAGGCGGATCGGTGCAGTGTCTGGAGTGATGCGGTTGCTGTATCAGACTGTTGTGGTGAAGATTTACAGTCAATCTATGTTCCTGCCCTCACCTATGGTCTTGAGCTCTAGGTAATGACCGGTTTTCTCCACAGGGTGGGGGAGCACTCCCTTAGAGATTGGGTGAGGAGCTCAGTCACACGGGAGGAGCTGGGAGTAGAGCTGCTGCTCCTCCACGTCGAGAGGAGCCAGATGAGTGGGTGTCTCCTGGGCGCCTTCTTCGGGAGGTGTTCCGGGCATGTCCCACCGGAAGGAGGCCCCGGGGAAGACCCAGGACACACTGGAAGGTCTATGTCTCTCTGTGGCCGGGGAACGCCTTGGGGTCCAACCTGGAGGAGATGGAAGAAGTGTCCAGGGTGAAGGAAGTCTTGGAGTTCCTGCTTAGACTGCTGCCCCCGCGACCCGGCTCTGGATAAGCCGAAGAAAATGGATGGATGGAACTGGTGTCAAGATGACGCTCTGATAAAGGAATAAAGTTTAGGCATAATAAGCTCAAACTTCAGCCAACATCTTTTCGGTCTGTGTATGTTAAATATGACTGTTTGTGGAATAATGTCAGAGTATACCTGTGACCAAAATCAATCAAACTATTTTCTTTTTGTAAATGTAGCTCACCAGAAGAAAAAGGTTGGAGACTCCTGCCCTAACCCCACCCACTGCTCTGTATTTTTGAGATTATTCCATAAATTCAACCTTCGAGTCAAACATTTAGGGTTTAAAAAAGTCACATGGCAATTTTTCACTCATAAACACCTAAAAGAAAATCCACTGTTGCTACGGGGAAATGCCAGTCAATGCCAGTCTGAGTCAATATTGTGGCGTCTGTTCACTCGTGATCTCTGTGTCTTTGGCGTCCTTGTCCAGTGTCTGTAGCACCTGCGCTTCCACCTTCTCCGGCTTCTTCGCTCGCTGCAGCCTCAGAAGGATCCCAGAGTGCCGCGCTTCTTTTGGGGCCTCGCTGGTGCTGGTTTTCTCTGGGACGGGGATGACAGCCGAACCGTTGGAGGAGCGCTTGGTGGCGGTGGTGGGGGGGCCCTCGGAGAGGCTGGCCCTGCCCATGCCGAACACGTGGAGGGTCTGCTGGGTCTCCTCGGACGGCAGGTAGGGGGAGTACCTGAAAGAGTTCCCCGGGTAGGCCAGAGTGGAGCTGCACAGAAGACCTGAGGGAGACTTGCCCTTCATCATGCCCACGACCTCGTAGCGGAAGCTGGAGATGTCCTGCTTCAGCTCCTGTGGCGGGGAAAACAAAAGAAGTGTTATTGAGTTAAGGTTGTCAAAAGTATCGGAAATCAAATACTAATCGATACTAAAACTAGAATCGAAACTAGACACTTATTTGAGCAGGTATCGATACTAAAAAAGTCACATTTACAGGACAGAAATGAACCTTTCCTGAATAGCTTCAGGAAAGGTTCATTTCTGATGATTTTGAAAGAATATAAAAGCAGAGACGCGAGGCTGCATCATTTGCCCAACTTTTTGAATTTTGTTTGAAAATCAATCTGTACCTAGTATCAATTTTTTACACTTGCCAAAGTAAACTTCCATGAGAAGTTCATGAAATTCATGAAATTCTATTGATGTCTACTGGGTCCACCAAGCCTCTGAAGTGAAGTGCCTGTGGAAGCCTTAAATCTGATCTGAAAAATCTGTTTTTCTTTAATAACTTCAAATATAATTAATTTAGCCCGAAAGTATCAATGGAAGTTGAATATAAATATGGACATTGCAGATCAGTTTTCTGTCTCTATCATCATTAGTTTCGGAGATATAGCAAAAGTGTCATTTCTTTGGGACTTCAAGGACCTTGAATAAGCAATTATAAAAAAAAAAAAAAGAAGAAGAAGAAAAAAAAATTAAAAAATCATTATTTTTTAAAGTTATTTGAGAAAAACAGATTTTTCTGCCAGAGCCTTAAGAGGCTTGGTGGACCAGAAGATATTATTCAGGTGAGATAACTAATTAATTGGTATTGTCACATTTTAAAATTGGGTACAAGTTGAATTTATGACACTGGGGCAAATGATGCACCCTAATACACGCCCAAGGACCAGTCTGGAACCTACCAGGACCACCGAGGGATTACACAGATATACATGGAAATATAAAAAATATTATCACTACTACTACTACAGTGCTATTATTTAGTACTTTAGTTTAGTACACAGTCTATTGTCTATTCTAAAGCAAAGGTCGGCAACCTGCGGCTCCAGAGCTGCATGTGGCTCTTTCATCTTTCTGTTGTGGCTCTCTGTGACTTTGGAAAATAAATAATGAGTATTTAAGTACAATGTATTTTTATTTTACTTTGTTCATTTTTAAATGTAATTCTAAATTTGTAGATAATGGTAATCTGGTAACATTCAAATAAAACGTTCTGAATATTTCTGAAGAAAACAGAAGAGACTGAGACACGATAAAACGATGCTGGAACACAAGAAGAAGATGGCATTTTTGGCTCGCTGTGGGTGGATAATTTAAGTTTGGATTTTATTTCCTATAAGGAGGACTCAAATATACATTCAGTATTAAAGGTTGTATAGAGGATTTTCCAAGGAACGAGAAATCCAGCGACTGTTTGTCCTTTTTCAAATGTTGCGCATGCGTGAAACCACCCCCCCTCCCCCACAGCTCCTACGTAGAAACGCCTCCTCCCTCCTCCTCCTCCTTACGCCAGAAACAGGTTTGTTTACAGCCGGTGCTGCACATGACTTGTAAACAACTAACTACAGTGTTGGTTAGGCAAGACGGAGAAGTGAGGAGCAGGGGGAGGGGGTGTGTGGACATTTCGTGCGCGGACGAGAAGTGAGGAGCAGGGAGAAGAGCGGAGCAGGGAGAGAGGAGAGGGGAGCGGAGATTCCGTGCCCGGAGAAATGAGGAGCAGGGGGAAGAGCGGAACGGGCAGCAGGGACAGGAGCAGGAAAGGGGAGCAGAGAAGAGTGCGCGGAGATTCAGTGCGAATGAACTAGCTACAACACGCAGCAGCAAGCGGACTCTTTCTTTGCCTTGAAAATTACGTTTTCAGACATAGGATATCGCTTTCGTGTCCTGAAAAACGTTTGTCTAGCTCTTGGAAATAAAGTACGTTTTCATAATAAGCAGAAGTTTCCTGTCCAGGAGTAATTTGGCGACCAGTGCGTCAGTCTTTAGACCCTGCGTCTGCTTCAGTTTGGCTTAGTTTGGCTTCTCTGCTTTTCCCCTTGTCTTCTTCTTTCAGCGACCTCAAAAACGGACTTTCTTTTGCGGCTAACTGCTCCTGGATTCTTGTCTGTCATTGCAACAAACTTTGTGCGAACTGCGAGGAAGATATAGGTAAAAAAAAGCCGCTAAGAACTGTTGCGTTGGTGGAGTAAACAGCGTCTGTGCGGCTTGCGTCTGTGGACTGCGTGACAGACGTACGTAAACCACGTACCGGCGGCGCGCAGGCAAGTCAGTTACGCTAGAAACGTAGGGAGTTTGATTGACAGCCTGTCAGCTAACAGATAACGAGGCAGTGTCGTTATCTATTGGCAAATGTTTAGCCCCACCACGTCCAGAGTTGATGAATTTTTATTGTCTTTTTTTTGGTCATCATAATTACAAGGCTACTGCACCTCTATAATGCTATCATTGACAACTTGAAACAAAAAAAAATCCTTCATACAACCTTTAATGTGTTTAATGCACAAATTTGTTTACATTTTACAGAAACAAAACTTAAAACCACATGGATAATTTGCCTAAACTGTAAGTGCTGAAAAAACAGCTCGCTCCTTGTGCACTGATGCGGTCGGACTCCGCGAGGCTCCTGACTACGATCGCTGTAAAGCTCCGACAGTCCATCAAGCGGTGCAGTTTCGTAGTTTAAAGTCATACTAAAATATTTTGATGGATTTTTGAGCGCCGTGTACCACATAAAATCAGTTCGAGGTCAGAAAGCACAACCAGAATTAATACATAAATCGCACCGGATTATAAGGACCACTGTCGATTTTTGCGAAAGTTAAAGGATTTTAAGTGCGTCTTATAGTCCGAAAAATACAGTATTGTAATTAATGTTTCCAACCTTAAAGTTTTCCTCTGTCAGACCCTCCTCTGTTTTTGCATCTCGGATCATGGCAGCCACATAACGCTTCACCAGGTTCTTCAACACCTCCTGCAAGAAATCACCCAGAAATATAATAACTCCAATAAAAAACTAAATTAAAAACAAAACATAAAAAGAACAAATGAACTCCTACCTGATATTCATGATGCGACCTGACATTTTCAGTTGCACGAAACTAGAATTGAACAACACACAGACACAAAAGAGTTATCCTCCTTAATCCTAAATAAAATCTTATAAAAATTAACTGTGTGTAATCTTAATTTAACTGTGTTTAACGATTTTATTGTTTGTTTTTAAAGCTTTGAATGGACTGGCCCCACAATACGTCTCGGACCTCATCCAAATTTACTCCACCTGTGCGCTCTCTGAGGTCCGAGGGCTCCTGCTCCAGCTCAAGGTGCCTAAGACGAGACTTAAAGGTTGTATAGAGGATTTTCCAAGGAACGAGAAATCCAGCGACTGTTTGTCCTTTTTCAAATGTTGCGCATGTGTGAAACCACCCCCCCTCCCCTACAGCTCCTACGTAGAAACGCCTCCTCCCTCCTCCTCCTTACGCCAGAAACAGGTTTTTTTTACAGCCGGTGCGCTGCACATGACTTGTAAACAACTAACTACAGTGTTGGTTAGGCAAGACGGAGAAGTGAGGAGCGGGGGGAGGGGGTGTGCGGAGATTTCGTTCGCGGACGAGAAGTGAGGAGCAGGGAGAAGAGCGGAGCAGGGAGCAGGGAGAGAGAAAGGAGAAAGGAGAGGGGAGCGGTGCGCGGAGATTCCGTGCCCGGAGAAGTGAGGAGCAGGGGGAAGAGCGGAACAGGCAGCGGGGACAGGAGCAGGAAAGGGGAGCAGAGAAGAGTGCGCGGAGAGATTCAGTGCGAATGAACTAGCTACAACACGCAGCAGCAAGCGGACTCTTTCTTTGCCTTGAAAATTACGTTTTCAGACATAGGATATCGCTTTCGTGTCCTGAAAAACGTTTGTTTAGCTCTTGGAAATAAAGTACGTTTTCATAATAAGCAGAAGTGACCTGTCCAGGAGTAATTTGTGGACCAGTGCGTCAGTCTTTAGACCCTTCGTCTGCTTCAGTCGCGCCATCGCTGGAATGAATCTATAAGAATCACCTTAGTTTGGCTTCGCTGCTTTTCCCCTTGTCTTCTTCTTTCAGCGACCTCAAAAACGGACTTTCTTTTGCGGCGAACTGCTCCTGGATTCTTGTCGCCATTGCAACAAACTTTGTGCGAACTGCGAGGAAGATATAGGTCAAAAAAAGCCGCTAAGAACTGTTGCGTTGGTGGAGTAAACAGCGTCTGTGCGTCTTGCGTCTGTGGACTGCGTGACAGTCGTACGTAAACCACGTAACCGGCAGGCGCAGGCAAGTCAGTTACGCTAGAAACGTAGGGAGATTTGATTGACAGCCTGTCAGCTCACAGATAACGAGGCAGTGTCGTTATCTATTGGCAAATGTTTAGCCCCACCACGTCCAGAGTTGATGAATTTTTATTCTCTTTTTTTTGGTCATCATAATTACAAGGCTACTGCACCTCTATAATCTATCATTGACAATTTGAAACAAAAAAAAATCCTACATACAACCTTTAAAACCAGGGGGACAGAGTTTTTTTTTTGTGGCCAGCCCCAAAGTCTCGTCTTAAGACCCACTTTTATTCTCTGGCTTTTAACATTGTGTGGTCCTCTGTGTCTTTTATTTATTTAAATTTTTAGTTTTATGCATTTTAACACTCTTTTTCACTGACAAAATTTTCAAACTTTTCCATGACTTTTTCATAACCTAAAGTGAATTTTCCATGACTTTACAGCACCAACATGTGTAGAATTGATCAGACTTTTAGGGCTAAATATGAAATGTTCTGCCCATTCATACTGATACCCTTAATAATTCTGAGGCAATATAATTAAAGGAGCTGTATGTAGCACAAGCTCTTAGGTGTTACAATTAAAACTGTGACTTAAACAGCTCTGCCTTACTTTTATTCAATTACAGGTGGTTTTATTACTCAAAAATACCTAGAAAAACAGACATTCTGACTGTGATCTAACCTATAACTTGGTCTGGTTTGGTCTCCATGAAGATAGAAAGGATAACAGGACCATCGTTTTGATCACAGGCTCCTGAAAATATGCTGTTTAAATTCCATTTTGTACTCTTTTCTTGAGTTTTACGACTATTTAAAAACTAGGGTGTTGCAATCACAAGTGAGACTCGACCGATCACCAGGGTTCCCACTCTTTTTCACTGATAAATTTTCAAAACTTTTCCATGACTTTTTCATGACCTAAAGTGAATTTTCCATGACTTTACAGCACCTACATTTGTAGAACTGATCAGACTTTTAGGGCTAAATATGAAATGTTAACCCTTTCCACTCACCTTATGATTTGGGATTATAGTTTTTTAACATTCAAAATACTGTCAGTGCATTTATTGTCGTCTCTTTTAAACAAAAATTTCAGAAAATGTTCGGAAATAATCAGTAACAACAGCCTAATGATAACTTAACAGAACACTGGAGCTGCGTGAAAGAGAAACTAAAATTCCATAACTTTTCCAAAACTTTCATTGAATTTACAAAATTCCATAACTTTTCTAGGCCTGAAAAATGACATTTTCAATTTCCATGACTTTTCCAGGATTTCCATGACCGTGAGAACTCTGTTTATTGTTTTTATTTATGATTTACGGTCTTTTATTGTGTTAATTTGTCTGTGCTTTCGTGTTTATAAAATGTGCTGTATATATAAAGTGGATTGGGCTGGATTTTAGTAAAATGAGTCCGACCTGTCACTTTTTGGCACTTTAGTATAGTAGACATCGTACCCCGAGGCTTTCAAACGTGTTCCAGTCTGGCCCCGCGTGGTCTCTTAAACAGATGCACCCTGATCCAGCCGATCAGGTAACACAGGGACTTGGGGCTGGGGATAATGTTGAACGGAGACGGCAAAGTCCCGCCTTCCTCAAAGTAGCTCATCCATAATTTGGTGCGAGCGAATTTCCACTCTTTGTCGGCGTGATCCTGGAACCAAAATAAAACAGAATGAAAAATTAACATCATGAACACAAACCAAAACCAGATCTAGGACATTAAAGCAGCCATATTACACTATTTTCTGATCTATGTTATAAAGTTTCCTCATCACAAACAGACCTGGAGTTGTTTTGTTTCACTCACACGTTTAACACAAAAACTCTGCATATTTAGGATGAGAAAAATACTCCTTGTGATGTCATGTGGTAATACAGGAAGTGCTCCAATGTGTTTTTAAACTCCACACACCTTCACTAGAAACATTTGGATAATTTCAGCCCTGGAATTACCAAACTCTGCTTAACAAAACCTGAAAATGACATCACAAGGTGGAACAGAGCATTTTGAGATTTGAGAAGTAGACAGACTGATAATAAAGGATTACTCAAACATGTGTGAATGAAACAAAACAATTCAATCAATTTTGTGTAATATAGGTCTCTTTTTAATTAACTGAAGACATAGAACAAAAATGATTAGATTCTAATTTATATTTATTTACTTTAGGACTCTGGGGATCTTGAAAGGTGCTATATAAATGCAATGATTAATTATAAATTATAAATATTATTGAAGGAATATTGTATACTGGGACATAATTTTCAGATTTATTTAAATGCAAGTTAATATAAACATGAAACAGAAACTCCACACTTTTTAATGAACTTTATGGACTAATGTGGGTGCTTCGTATATATTTTTTGTATCCAGTTTTTTTTTTCTTTTTAACTATGGACCGAATAATATTTGTGTCTGAAATAAAGAAATAACAACTTAACTATTATCCAAGATACTGTTATGATGATGTTTGTGAGTAATACTGTAATTTAAATAATTTATTTGTTTATTTATTTTTTTTTTTTTTTTATTTAAATGAATGAAAAATGAAGAGACCAAAAAGACATCAGATACACTAAATTCAAGTTAATGAAATATTTGAATCGTGATTTTATTGCCAATAAACAATCAAAATAAGATCCTTCTTTAAAGTGGACCTATAACAGACATTTATAAGGCTTTTAACTATGTTATAGTTGTTTGACATTTACTCTCTTGACATTGTATTCAGCGTGATTCATGCATGTTTGAGTCACCTTTGTATATTATCTAGATTCGATTTCACAGAATCCGTGCACAGAGCATTAGCGTCAACTATTTGTTTGTATTTGTTATCTTAGACTAAGTTTACACTGAAACGTATCACCGTATTGGAAACAATCTGCGTCCAGACACGTCGTTTCCGTTAAGCAAAAGATGTTCATTTTGTCTTCTTATACGTATAGGTATATTGGTATACGACACCATCACCACCAACACCGGTGACAGTTCTGAAGTTGGCTTGCAGCTAGCAGCCGAAACATGTCAACAAGGTAAACACACTTTACTGCTTTGTCTTTAAAAAGAACCCAAGAAGTTAAACGTCGTTTCCGTGTCCACAAGACTTCCCTAACCACACAGCTTTGAGTATATTTGTTTATGTTTTACAGAAACAAAACTTAAAACCGCATGGCTCATTTGCATAAACTAAGCGCTCAAAAAAACAGCTCCCTATTGTGCGCTGATGCGGTTCAGCTTCTGTCGGACTAAAGGACACGACTCAGTGGAATATGAGTGTTCTTTCTGTGACAGAGGGGTGTTCTGCAGATGGTGAGTCCTGTTCTGTGTTTCTATCGCGTTGGAGATGGTTCATGTTAAACTTTTCAGAGATTACACGTCTGCAGGTCGTACACACAGACCGTATATATGAATGGACATATATTGGAGCCTCTTAGCGTTTTGGCGGTGAATTACTTCGCGGTGCATAGACCTACATCTGTGTATTAGTATTTTCAGGCGTCCACACAGAGCCAGATCAGATCCATACTCAGATGAATTCGTGGGATCCAGATCGTTCCGTCTCTGGAGCAGTTTTCAATCAGATTAATGTGGACGAACACTGCATCCACAACGAAAACGACTCAAATACGTATTAGTGTGGACGAAGGCCTTAGCTTTGCCATTCCCTCTGCTATCTTAGGGTCCAGTTTGCGCTGCCTTTTTATGCCTATTTTTTGCAATGTTGTGGTTCAATTGAAACATAATCAAACTGAAATTATTACTTACTAATTATTACATTCAGTATTGCCAAATGATTTATTATGCACTTCGTGAGGGTTTTTTTTTTTTGGCCTAAACATTACGTCCTATTGAAATGCACTGAATTACACTGCGTTATTACTATGTCATTACACAGTTATTACACTGTATTAGTATAAGTACAGGTTCCTTTGTACTTAGACTTAGTGCTCAGTGGTGCTTATTACTATAGGCGGCTTGTGTCGTCTTTAATATGGAAGGTGATTTGAAAAGCATTTTGGAATTAAACATCATGTTGCTGCTGCTCTTGTTTATCTAACGCACGATCCGTTCAATTCTTTGTAACACTTTAATATAACCACGTATAAACCACAGCTACAAGACAAATGAGTGTGATTATGGCGTGCGCAGAGGAGGCTGTGCTCACGGCGATGTGCTGGTACGAGTTGTTCATCATGGCGATCAGCATGTTGAGAAGAACCACCAGAGAGATGATGTTGTACGTCCCAAACATGGTGCTGCCCACAAACTCCGTGAACTGGTGATCCGGCTTCACGTTGGTCACGTACAGAGCAATCAGGCCGAAGATGGACCAGAACAACGACTGCAGCGTCTCGAAAAGCCTGCGCAAAAATAAACATACATTATAAAACCAGTGATGGAAGAAGAAATGAGTTTTGTTACTGAAAGTGCATCATTACGGTGTCAGAAATTAAACTTGTACCCAGTTTTAAAATGTGACAATACAAATTAAAAGAAAATCTGTGGAATATTAGCTCAATCAAATAGAGGCGTAATGATATCCAAGTCTCACGATACGATATTGTCACGGTATGAACCTCACGATACAATATTTATTGCGATGGAGAGGCTCACGATTAGGGATGTAACAATATCCAAATCTCTCGATATTTTGACAATATACATCTCACAGTACGGTATTTATTGCAGGTTAATATGCTTCTTTTTCCTCTTAAAATGCCTTGACAAGACTTAATCCAAAGAACTAAGAGTTAAAAGTGCTTAGAACTGCTATTTCTTCTTGTAGTCTACACTGAAATGGAGCAAAGGATCATGGTCTATGTAGTTCCCTCTGTCTTTTTAAAAACTATTGCTGCACCATAACTCTCAATTTAAGTAAAGAGACTTGTAATTCGATATATTGTGATGGTCCGCGATATTATTGTGAGAACTTTGACGATACGATATCACGATATTTCGGTTATTGTTACATCCCTACAATTTAATAATATCTACTGGGTCCACCAAGCCTCTTAAGTTCCATCCAAACATAAGGCTCTTCATAACATAAGGTTTTTCTTAAATAACTTTTAAAAAATAATGTATTATTATTTTTATTTTTATATAATAATTGCTTATTCAAGGTCCTTGATATCCCAAAGAAATGACACATATCACAGAAAATAATGATGATAGAGACATAAAACTAAACCATAAACTAAATGATAAACAATGTCCATATTATTTTTGATGTTATTAAAGAAAAACAGATTTTTCTGCTCAGACTTAAGGTTTCATGAAATTTCTTATGGAAGTTTGCTTTAGCAAGTGTAAAAAATTGATAAGTACAGATTGTTTTTCCAAAAATTTTTTCAAAAAGTTGGGCAAATGATGCACCCTAATGCTGCTAGAAAAATACTCTGAAAAATATAATTCCTTGAAAAAGTAAATGTAACTGAGGGGCCAGGTGTGTTATAGATGTTGCAGGTATAAATAGGTGAAGTTAATCTACAGTGGGGTACACAACATATTAGTGAATTAGATGAGGATGAATGGTCTTTGCCTCGGTAAACAGACCGTTCTGTGTTTCTCTTTTCCATTTCCCACCAACTGCAACATAAAACATGATCCGTACAGACCTATATTTCACAGCGTGGTGGCATATGTAGGCTGGATACATGCTGGTCTCAGGTTCCATTCACACACTTATTCCTCATGAAATAAACACAGGGAGATGAGGCTGTGGTTTGGTTACACTGTGGTCCATATCGCAAAAAAAAAAGTGTTTACATTTACTTTAAACACGTAAAAAGGCACATTTTAGTCCTAATTTAGGCTTTAGTGTAAAGAGAGGATATTACACTTCTATGGGGTATTAATAACTTCTAACACATTTTTATGTATTATTAACAAATTATTTACTATATTAGACAAAAACAAAGTGTTAAGAAGTGTTTAATAAGTTTCACTTTTGTTTTTGATGCTCTGAGTCTCCCCTCCCGTTGCTCCATGCATTAAGTCACCCCCCCTTCAGAACACAATACAATCACAATACAACTGCCGTGCATCTCACTAATGAAACTACTGCACATTACATCAGGTTTTTAAACTGTAGTGTACCGTTTAATATCATAATTTTGTATATTTATGGAGAATTCCCATGGGAACGTGGGTGGCACAGGCTTGAGGGGGGAGAATTGGACACAAGGATTCAAGTAAATCCTGGAAGAGATCTCTAGATTATTCAGACATGCATAGATCATCTAAACTTTTTGATGAGGGACGTTATAACATGGTAGAAAGCCAATTTTGCATAATACCCTCTTTAACAATTTTTTACTAAGACAATAAGACGATAAAAGAGAGTAAATCATAAATAAAAACAATAAATGCATAAAGCTAAAACTGATCACGTTAAAAGCCAGAGAATAAAAGTGGGTGTTAAGACTATGTGGTGTTCAAAATGAGACTTAAATCTCGTTTTGGAGACATATTATTGCGCTAGTCTGTTCAACACTTTAAAAACAAACAATAAAATCTTAAAATCAACTCTAAAATGAACAGGATTCCAGTGTAAAGACACAAGAATTGGTTTATGTTCTTGGTTTTTGGCTCCTGTTCCCTTGTGCAGCTGAGTTTTGGACTAACTACAGATGGGAAAGTGCGTTTTGAAAGCTGCCCGTGTAAAGTGTAAAGTCGTTCAGACATGATGAAATAAAAGCATGCATGACCTGTTTAAAGAGATTAAAAGATGAAAAAGGTTTGACTTAGGTCCGTGTACTATTCGTTCTTTTGAATTTAAATATAAGAAATATAGTAAAATGGGAAAACAGTTTGTTATCTCATTATTCCATTTTAGTGTCAAAAAAAAAAAAAAAAACAGATTTCGACCTCAATTTCCAATATTTAATTTAAAGTTTAAAGTCTCAGTGACTATTTTAATTTTTATTTGCCCTGGAAGTTTATTTCGTGCCCCAGAAGTTCAAAGTTCTGGTGTTCTAAGGAGAGTTTATCGCTGCTTCTTGTTTCTCGTCATGGAGTTCAACAATGACTTTTTGAGACGCGAAAGTAAGCGCATCGCTGTCAAAGAAGACGACACGTTTGTCCACAAAATTGCAACGATTTTTCAAGTAAGTCCTTCCAGCTGCAGAACTTCCAGGGCAAATAAACCAGAGAGAATAAAATATCAAAATTAAAATAGGCACTGAGACTGTTTTTTGATTGGTTTTATTTGAGATAAACGTTAAATTAAATATTGGAAATATAGGTTGAAATCTGTTTTTTTTGTTTGACACGTAAACAAAAAAAATTAAATAAACCATTTTATCATTTTATTGTTTTTCGTTCTTAATTGAAATTCAAAAGAACGAATCATACATGGACCGACTTAAAAGCTGCAAATGATAAAAACTCGATTTTAAGACGCTATTTATCTCCAAATCAAATTTAAAATCACTACCAGGGCTTGGTGATTCCTTTGTTACTAGAAATAACCAGTCTAGATGATACTGACGTGGAGAAGGCGTTGTTTTGCTTCTGGCACCGGATGCCCTTACAGTTGTCCTCGCCGTCGCTATCGTAGTAGAAGTAGAGCTGGTTGAGTCCGTTGGCGAAGGCGAGGAGCACCAGGCAGTAGATGAAGAGGAACTTGAGGATGTCCAGGAGCATTCGGCCCAGCGAGATCTGCAGCGGGCCCAGGTGGGAGTTGGCCGTGAAGAGGGCGATCAGACGCAGGGAGCTGAAGATGTTGGCGATGGCGAACAGCGACTCAGCCACCAGAGTCGGGTGCCACATCTCCCAAGAACAACGAGGCTTCTTACCGCTGTACTGGAGACAGACAGAGAGAGGTGTAATGTGTCAGTTTTTTGGTGGAGAGTCCGTCAAATGCTTTTCTCCTTCCAAACCTAAGGGCAATTTTAGTATATTTGTCCTCACCTGGATTTTTTTTTCTTAATTTTGCTATTAAAACTCCCCCCTTCACCCCCTAATGAAGTGTTATACATCATTTTTTTCAGTACAACCTGTTATTTCACAATCTGCTGCTGTAGTTGTGTCATATGGCTGTAATAAAAGCTATAGTACCAGAAATACAAATGAAAAAAAAATAAAAAAAACTGAAAATAAAATTCACACTGTCATACAAAACACAGAAAACATGTATAAACAACTTTTTGGACATAAAAAAATAAAAATAAAAAATTAGGACCTTAGCTACAAAAGTGCAAAATATCAAGTCTGCAAGTGAACTAAAAATAAATAAAAAATAAAGTGCAATGGCCCCATGACTTTCTTGGTGTCAGTCATGGAAAGAGCTGGTGTCAGGTCCAGGGCACAGAGCCACATCACTTCCTGCATTTCCATGGTGTTTATTACATTTGGATTTGTACATTTTCCCTGAATAAATTAATGCACATTTTTGTCCCATTGTCTTCCATTCAAAATGGCTTTTTTTACTGGCATAACTTTGCCAGTATATTTTAACTTTTTGATTTATTTTTCATTCTATGGTGTTAAAAACACTTTCAATTTTTTTTGTCTCAGTGTGTTTTTTTTTACTGTGTATCTTCCATTACAAGGTTATATCAAAAGAAAGATATTTGTACATATTTTTCCACACTGAAGTCCAGGGATGTAGATATTTGAGGTTAAAATGATATGGTCATGTTCAAGAGGAGCCCCAGCCTCTGATAATCCCAACACAAACTAATTAAAATTACCTGAAAGAAACAGAAAAAAAAAAAAAAATGTTTTCTTTTTTTTTTTCATGCACATAATTTGACTTTTGCTGTCAAAACTGGTATTTTAAGGGGTTAAAATTTCAAAATATTATATCTTATTTGGTATGTATGATTAGGGCAGGAGTAAATTAAGACACTGATATAAAATAGTTGGACAAAAATCTGTACTGCATAAACATATTGTGGTATTCTTTTCCAGTGTACATTTTTGTCACACAGGACCACAGGTGTGATTCTTCTAAAGGAGTGCGAGAGGGTTAAAATAAATTACCTCTAGACTAGAATTAATCCAACTTAGAACTAATAAGTAGATAATAAATCTGGAAACAAGATGAATAACCTGATATAAGTTTTAAAATCTTGGCCAGATCAGAGAAATATGCAGTGCACCACAGGTTTATCTCCATGGAGACAATATTACTGTTCCTAGAATGTTCCAGTGTGGCATTAAACTTACATGAACAAAGCCATAAAAATCTTAAAGCAAATGTCAGATCCACCCGCTGACCTGCTGACCTTTTACTCAGCAGCAGTACCTTTGCATAGGCCACGATCTTCAGAGAGATGGTTGCCAGATACAGAGAGTTCATGATGAAGTCCATGAGGTTCCACCAGTCGTCCACATAGTCCTCAAAGCCGTTGTCCCACATCTGCTTGATCTCGGTCCAGATGAAGCCTGCACAGATCAGGAAAATCATATCATAATGAAAGACTAATTCAAAGATCAGAAGGCCTGGTGTTTCCTGCGGTGACCCTGGTCTGCTCTCTGCGCTCTCGTCCTCGCTCTTTGATCATGCACACTTATTATCTTATTTCTCTCTTGATCATTAGGAAAATTCATATCCTGCAATTTTATCTCCAAGTGCATCGTTGAGACTAAACATATCATTATTTTCATATGGTTAAAGAAAAAGAAACGTCTGGTTGCTTCAGTAATGCAGTTCTGGTAAAGACCTCGGTTAATCCAGGCTGCTCTTTTGGTTTCATATTTGGTCTGGGATTATGCTGGTGTAACGCAAGTTTGTAAAAATGTAAAGTTTTGGGTGAAGTATATTGAAATATTTTTAACAGAACACAACAACAAAATAGAAAATAAAAACCAGTCCAGTTATTGCGCATATTGGGTCTAGTCTGTATAATCAGTATTTTAATCCAAGTTATTTTAAACCCAAGTTATTTTAAACCTCTAGTGGACAAATTTAACCAGCTGTCTCAGCATCGATGAAGTATTGTTAGTGTAAGACAGGAGTGTCAAACTCATTTTGGTCCGGGGGCCGTATCCAACAGACTTTGATCACAAAGGGGCCGGATCAGAAAACTCATGTCATATAAACCCCAAAAATAACAATAAGTTCAAATATTTGTGCAGAGAAACGCAAATCTATTACAGAAATCTTTTTTAATTGATGAACTCTTTCTTATTATAATATTATGAACAACCTGAAACTTGAAGAAAAATTCAATTTCAACACAATGTTTTAACAATAACTTGTTTGCAAATAGGAATAAGTAAATTTTTCTTGTAAAATCCTGCACTCGGCTCCACTTTTCTCATGTTGGACATTTTTCTGATGAGGGTGTCACGGTCAACAGTCAAAACGATCGTCCTTTAAGAGCGTTTGGAAAGAGACAAGTCTTCATTTGTGCTGCTCTGGTGGGAGGGGCCACGTACAGAGACGCTGGAGACGCTGATATGCTCAGCACCGCAGAAAATTACCAATATTTTAATAGAAAATATAATTAAAATATTTTAGTAGAAAATCACCCAAGGGCCGCATTAAAGGTCTTGGAGGGCCGGATCTGGCCCCCGGGCCTTATGTTTGACACCTGTGGTGTAAGACAATACTTGTGTGCAGCGCAGACACCGTACCTAACAACAACAATAATAATGATGATTTAAAATAATATGTAAAGAGCAACATAAATATCATGCTGTAAATAAGAAAATAGGTGTTACCTTGTTAAGTGGAATTAGACCAAAGTGATCCCAAACCATGGATCGCTTTTTTCCACTTGTAGACGCCATCGAAAATTAAACAAATGTCAAAAGTCGCCAAAAGTCGCCAAAATCACCACTAACGTCACACAATACTCCTCACTACCCAACATTTTTAAGAAATATTGGTGCATCTTTTATACTGTAGCAGTTAGGCGCTTGTCAGACCACAGAAGTGCGCTGAACACTCTGAAGCACTCTGAACCAATCGCAGAGCGGAACATTCGCTGAGCCAATGAAACGCTTCGATACACTGAAGCGATTGACACACAGAGAGAAGCAGTCGGGGAGGGACCGACACTTCCACACTTCAGTCACGTGCAGCTGCAGCGAGACGAGCTCCGAGGCAGTGCTTTGGAACAACTTGTTTCAGAAAGAACGAGACGTGCTCCGGAGCTCCGTCTCATTTGCCCATCACTACTTTTAAAGAACGCCTCAAACTGGATTCACAGCGTGCGTTTTGTGGACTGGGGTCATTATTTGCGAAGGACAATTTCTATGGATAATGTGGATGTGATGCTGCACTTTAAATTTATCACTTCTGCTCATTATTTCCGCTGTATCCTGAGCTTGTATCTTGCGTCTCTGTGTCCGTCACTTCTCTGCCCCTGAAGCTCTTTTTTATTGACTGTTACCGTAGTGTTGCTGATGTTTGGTGGTTATGACATGACAAAGCAGCTGACACCCAAAACCGGATCACGCCTCCCTGAACTCTGGGTGAAGCAAACGCAGCCAAAATCAGGCAAATTCTCCAGTAGTGTGTGGCACACTTGAGTCTAATATATTTTCTTCAACAATATAGGTGAGTTTCAGATGACGTCATTGTTATTAAAAGCCCGCGTTGCTGCTGGGAAATATTTTGGTCGGAGGCAAGAAACACGGTAGCGTCAAACACAATGCGTAACCTCGTGTATTTATCCCCGATAATGGTAAATTCCTGCTGCATTATCGGATGCACAAATAGAAGCACGGAAGAAGGAAAATGTCTTTTTCATATTCTGAGTGAAAAGAACCACTAACGGTGAATTAAACGGCTTTCAAACATTCACAGAGCAAACGTAGAAGATCCTAACAAACCGTGGACTCCAACAAGTTCAACAACACATCGAGACTCTTGGAGGTTTTCATCTTTTCTGCTGTGAATGGCCCAGGAGTTTCCACCAAGTCATTGTGGATATCGCCGAAGTGAATATTTGGCCAGGTAGTTGGCGATTCCGACCAGAAATTTGGTTTGGTCCAGGCTTTGTAGAGGTTGAAAAGGGTGATTTGGCTCCATCGATGCTTATGACCAATTTCTGGTCAAATCGTCTTCGGTCCTCTGCCGTTAGAGTGGATAAATAACCGGGATCAATATCCTTTACTGGCTTTCTAGCTCCGTCCGTCATGTTGAATTAGTGTTTATTGTCGCCGACCAAAATAATTCCCAGCATGCAACGCGCGCTTTTGTCAACAATGAAACTCGCCTATATCGTGACAGATCTAATCATTATCACAAAACTGACAATAAACCCATTTTTCTCACCCAACACCCAGGGCAGTATCATCCACTCCACGGTGGTCGGCACGGGGCCCTGGAAGTCCGGGTCGGCGGAGGCGATGTGCTGCGAGGCGAGGAAGAGGAGGAAGAGGAATGTGAGGTAGGAGGTGGTGTGGCAGATGAACTTGATGAAGGGCTTGCGGATGAAGAGGCCGTAGCGGCTCTTGGGAGACACCAGGTAGAGCAGGGAGAGCAGGGGGAAGAGGAGCCCGATCAGGATGCAGATGACGAGTTTGACGGCCCAGTGCCTCCTCCTCCAGCCCGGGAGCTCGTCGTACCAGCGCGACGCCAACAGCTGCTGACAGTTCGGCTGCGCTACGAACTAGAGACACAAGACAGTTAGAGTCAGGTTAAAGACAGACGAGTAGGCTAAATCAATTCTTTTGAGTTTTCTACTATGTTATAACATTGTTTCTTCATCAAAAACATGCCTGGAGTGGTTTTATATGTCATCCATGCATGTTTGAGTAATCTAGTGATCTCTCCCGGGCACTATTCAAACCCTCCTTATGGTTACCTGTAAGATTGTGCAATGTTGGGCCCGAAAAAACCTATGTCACCCATGCTCCAACATGACAATTCTGCATAAATATTTTTTTAAAAACTGATATAAAACTGTAACTTCAGGAGAAGAGGTGGGGAGACTCAGAACAGCAAAAACGAAAGTGAAACTTAGGCTACGTTTTTACGATAACGGACTGAAAAGAAAACGCAAAAGTGGCGTCGCGTCTTCACTTTTTATTCCGCGTTTAGACAAGCGTTTTCAGGAGGACATATGCGTGCATACAGTGACGCAAAAGTGTGTGGAATTCGATTGGGTATGCATGCCAGGTTTCTGTGTACTGTATGTATGTGACGTAAACGTGTACGCGACGTGAGCAGATCTGACCAGAGTTTTGCGTCTTGGGCAGTGTAGACGGAAACGCTACAAAGGAGTGTATTAAACTTTTCCACTCCGAAGGGTGGTTTCAGATTTTTGCATTTTTAAGCCCCAAAAACGCCATCAACGTCTAAACGAAAGGTACTTCCGATAAAATATTTTGTCGTTTTTACCTGCAAACAATCTCGTGTAAACAGGTCCTGAATACGCTATTTTCAGTAAAAACAGCATTTTCAAAACAATAAAAGGTAACATAGTGATCTAAATATGTTATGCGTTAGCAGTTAATAACCCATACAAGTGTAATACCTTCTCTTTAAGGTGCACTTAATAAAATAAAATTAAAAAAACAAACATTTGAATCACAATTGTGGGTCAAATTAACCCTGTAGTTTAGACATGTTATGAAACCTAGAAACACTTCACATTTACCAAGTGTAAATGTGAAGTGTTTCTAGGTTTTAAAACACTGTGAAATGTCACAATTGTCCAAAAAAAAAAAGTCCAAAAAGAATGGATGAAATTGCTTAATAGTAAACGGTTCTTTTTCCCTTTATTTGGTAAAACGAGATGATAAAACTATTGATTTATATTTACAAGCACAAAAAGATAAAAAGACTAGTAACTGGGTATATTTCTATTATACAGTTATCTTCTATTATATTTTGGGCTCATAATAACAGAATATACAGCATGTTTTAAGAGTAAAGAGGTTTTTGTTTACAAAGGTTAAATGACATTGTGCATTTTAAAACTGTAAATTCTTTTGAATGAACAGTAAATGTGCTCCCTCTTGTGTGTTCTGTTCATTCAGTAGTACAGTACAAACACAGTGTCCATGTGGAGAATACAGGGTTCCCCATTATTACTGTAGCCCAGCGTACAGTCCACAGCTGATGACTTGTCTATCACCCTGATCTCCCATGATGCTTTGCTGTGCCCTTGTCAGATGTGGAGGAGACACGAGAGGCTCCAGGCCAAAGAGCCATCTGGACTCACACTCAAATCAAGGCTTATTTTTAGAAGGTGATTTCTTTTCATATCTTTAATAAGTCGGTCTTTATTAGTCTTGGCAAATGCGTTTGTGCAGTCGAACAGTTTATGCTCGATAATATCACTGGGGTGTTCTTCAGGATTGTTTTTAAAGCCTATTCTTTATGTAGATATTATTTAAGAGTCTCAGGTCACAATATAATTCTATAAAATTATAATAGAAACATTAAATCGAAGAGTCAATTCTATGTATTCAAAAATAGCCAACTTCAAATGTTTCTGTCCCATTATCATCAGAATCGTGTTTAACTGTGTCACAGGTTTGTGCAGAATAAATGGGAAAAAACGATCAGTCGCAAAAACTTCACTTAAGCATTTTTTATTCACACCACAGTCCAACAGTTCAAAGTGCAATATTTACAGAGCAGGACGCTGTAAAACAAGGGTGGGCAATTTTTTTTTTTCCATGAGGCCACATGAGAAGCAAAATATTGTGGAAGTCTGGGCCAAAATGCTTTACTTAATTCTGCATAATATTAAATTGTATTTCTTTATAAAAAATAAAAAAAAGCATTGTTTAGACTGGTAAGAGAATTAAGAAAAAGTGAGGTTGCCTTCCAAAAATGTCATAAAAAAAAAACACCTCTAAAATATAAAAGCAATGCAGCTTTAGTCCATAAAATATGTTTTTTTTTTATAATTTCAAATCAGCTCAAACCGGCCGGTCAGAGTCAAGCAAGTCCAGGTCTAAGTGTAAATCTAACCAAAGGAGCTGAACAATGTCTGCAGTAAAATAAATAAATACAGTATTGTAACCTTTGATTTATCTGATGAATATTATTTCATTTATTATCATTCATTTGAGTAATTATTATTTTGTATATTGTTTGGATAATTTTTTTTTATTATTTTGCATGTATTTGATTGACAATTCATTGTTGCATTGTGTTTGGTTCTGTGGTGCTGTTTTGTTGTTTCAGTGGAGAAAGAGGTGTTGCTGAATAAAGCGTACTGTACACTGTCCTGCCGTGTTGGTATTTTTAGTTGGCAAGGAAAACTTCAAGAAACTACAACTATAAAATCTAAGTGTAACCCGCCATACCCACAGCCTTAAAGGTTGTATGGAGGATTTTTTTTTTGTTTCAGATTGTCAACAATAGTTTAAAATACCATTACAGAGACGCAGCAGCTTTGTAATTATGATGACCAAAAAAAAAATAATGAAAATCCATCAACTGTGGACGTGTTGAGGCCGGATAAACATCAGCCAATAGAAAACGAGGCTCCCTCTTTTTCTATTGGCTGTTAGGTCGTCAATCAAACTCCCTACGTTTCTAGTGTAACTGACTCGTCGTCGCGCGGGGATTTCGTGGTGTATGGGGCGGTTCTTAGAGGCTTTTTCAAACTGTAGCTTCGTCGCATTTCGCACAAAGTTTGTCGCGATGGCAGACGAGAATACACGACCAGTTCGCCACCAAAGAAAGTCCATTTTTCAGGTCGCTGAAAGAAGAAGAGAAGGAGAAAAGGAGCGAAGACAAACTGAGGTGATTCTTGGAGATTCCTTCCAGCGATGGCGCGACTGAAGCAGACAAAGGGTCTAAAAACTGAAGACGCGTCGGTCGGAATTATTTCTAGACAGGAAACTTCAACAGTAATTCTGAACTGGCTGTAAACAAATGTGATTTCTAAAGTAAAGAGGCGGGAGGAGATGTTTCTACTGAGGGAGCTGTGGAGGAGGAGGGTGGTGTCACACATGCACAACATTTGAAAAATTATTTCTCTTCCCTTAAAATATCCTCTATACAACCTTTAAGAGACTGGTAACGACGACATTCTAGGATTACAGTATTTACAGTAGCACTTACATAGAGCCTCAGCACCCACATAGTCAGGCCAAAGAAAACCACCAGAATGAAATACCCCTTAGCCCCTCCCCATGGGCTCATTAGTTAACAAAAAAATAGGGTTTTAAGGTTTAACTTTGCTCATAACCATAAACTCATAACTATAAAGCATATTGTGAATGTGATTGGAAACTGTGCAATGAGCGGAGTGTGCAATACTGGGAACTCTGCAATACGGAGAACTGTGCAATGAATGAAGTGTATTTTTTTCACTGGCTTTTAATAAGTGACATGTATATTTCTTGTTGAGTATTTTATTGTTTTTCTATGTTTTTAGTAGCTGTATTGTATGTGTACCATATATTTCTTCTACTGCGATTGTTTGTCTGTCCTGTGTTCGTGTACAGCACTTTGGCATACTGTAAAGTTTTTAAAGTGCTTCATAAATAAAGTTGGTATGGTATAGTTGGTATGTATATTTTATAGTTTGGCCCCCTGTGACCCCAGCCCCTTGGGACAACGGATGGAAATTAGGCTTAGGCTACAATCCAGTGTGTTTACATCCATGCTGTGTCATGTTTGTTCATTAACATGCTCTGTCCCAGTCAAATAAATAAATAAACTAGAAAAGCACTCAGAGAGCGCAGACCTCCGCCAAGGACTACCCCCATTTTTTATATAAATTGCGATAAAATCAGTCTTCTGGATCAGATCTGGATCAGCCTTTGGAATATGAAAGAGGATCCCATTGTAAATCCCTGAGTCACATTTCGTGGGGTTTGGTCAATAATTAACCGAGATATTGAGAAACAAAATTTTTGGCCCCATTTACCACAATGTTAACTAAAATTTCAAAGTGATCCAGAATCCAGGATTTCTTCCGGATCAGCCCCAAAATGAAATCAGTTCTTCCTTTTCACATTTCCAACAAATCCTGAAAATTTCATCAAAATCGGTGCATAACTTTTTGAGTTATGTTGCTAACAAACAAACAAACAAACAGACAAACGCCGGCAAAAACATAACCTCCTTGGCGGAGGCAATAAATTGCAAATCAGCATAATAAAACTGATTTAAATAACCCCCCATATGACTATTACTTTATTCTCTCATAAACTTAAGAAAACGTGAATAAACACACAAATTATCAATAATGGTTGAGGCCGTGGTCACGTGACGTCCAAAAACGCGCCACGAAGAGTTTTTTTTACGGCGCGACCAGGAAGTGCTCCGGTTTGGCCCGAGGACCGGAGAGCGACGTGGAGACGCAACAGGTGAGAAGTAAGAGGGCGCGGAGGTACCGAGTGTGCACCGGACACACCAGCGGGGGGATAGAGTCCAGACAGCGGGGAAACAGAGGTACGGGACGACGGGAGACATGTGCGGGTCTGCGGGGAAAAGTTTACCGGAGCTCCGCGCGCTCTGGAGCCGGAGAAAGACACGCGCCGCTCGGGGATCAACTCTAATGAAGTATTCAACTGTGTACATTGAAAATTCCCCATTTCCCTGTCCCTCATATTGGTCAATCCCGATTTTCTGTTTGATTACATGTTTTTCCAATCAAAAACAAAATAATATAATATTATAATGGCGTTCGATATTCTT